ACAACTGCATTACCTTGTTAAAAGTATGCAACCTCAGTCCCATTACAAGAATGCCAGATAGAGACAAACCAGGGAACGTTTGACAGTGTAACTGGTTGAAAGTTCCAGGGTTATGAGTGACAAGAAAAGATCGAGGGACAGCTACAGACTGCAGGAGGCCAAGGAGAATCAACAACTAAATGCAATGTGAGATCAGGGTTGGATCTTGAAACCAAAAAAGGATTTTGGTAACAGAAGTGACACTGGAATGAGATGTGTAGTTTCCTTAGTAATAAATAAATGTGAGGGCCCTGAAGAACTGCAGAGGCAGCAGTTTCTTGCCCTAATCGGTGCTAATAAACATGTTGGCAAATCAATGTTAATAAATTAATGTTAATAAATCAATGTTAATTTTTCTATTTTTTGATTATGGCACTATGATTATATAAGGCATCAACTGGGAGAATGTGGGTAAGGATATGGAAACTATTTTGGCAACTTTTCTATAAATTCAAAATAAGTTTGTTTGGTTTTTTTTTGGGTACCAGGGATTGAACCCGGGTCCTTAGCTTTCGAGGCAGGCAGTGGAACCACTGAGCTAAATCCCCGGCCCTCAAAATAAGTTTTTTAGAAAGAAAAAAGATAATCAAGTCATTTCACTTCTCTGCTCAAAACCTCCAGCTCACTGGTCATGGACGCCCCAAGGCTCTCAGCAGCATAAAGGCTCCCAGCAGCATAAAGGCTCCAGGCACGGGGCAGCTGACCTCCCTGGCAGAACTGCGCTCCACCTCCCTCCGCCTGCCAGTGCAGCCATCCTGGCTGATCCCCAGCCCAGAGGACCTTGTCCTGCTCACTCTGAACGTGAGCGTCCCCACAAGTCCTGTGCTGGACTGCAGCAGTGAGGTGACACTCCCAAAAGCTGGCCCCTGGAGGTGATCAGCCCACAAGGGCTCTGCCTCACAGGCGGTGCGTGCCCTGGGGAAAGGCCTTGAAGGAGAGAGTGTGTCCTTCTACTCTGGGAGGACACACGGAGGTGCCATCTTGGAAGCAGAGCGCAAGCCATTTCCAAACACCAGATCTGCTGACGCCCTGTCTTGGGATTCTGAGCCTGCAGAGTGGTGGGAACTAAATTTCTATTTTGTACCAATGACCAGTCTCAGGTACTCTGTTGGGGCAGCACGGATGGACCAAGACACAGCCTCTCACTCCCTTGTGCCTTTTGCTTGAAAACTTCTCTCCCCGTTATCTGCAGAGTCACTTCCTGTGGTCAAGTCCCTGTATGCAAACAGCACCTTCTCAGGGAGCCCTCACCTCCCGAGCCCCACGTAGATCACACTCCACTCCACCTGTTCCTGCCTTCTTTCTTTTTTTGTACTGAGATTGACCCACGCACCCTAGGGAAGTGCTTTTGTTTTTTTGGTTTTTTTGGTACTGGGGATTGAACTCAGAACCTTGCGCTTTTGAGGCAGGCTCAGGAACCACTGAGCTAAATCCCCGGCCCTAGGGAAGTGCTTTACCACTGAGCTACATCTACAGCCTTTTTTCTTTTTCTTTTGAACTTTTGAGACAGTCTTGCTAAGTCACCCAGATGGAACTCAAACTTGTGATCCTCCTGCCTCAGCCCCCGAAATAGCTGGGAAGGGGCTGGGGATTTAGCTCAGTGGTTCTGCCGCCTGCTTTGCAAGCATAAGGTCCCAAGTTCGATCGCCGGTACCAAAAAAAAGAAAAAAAAACCAAATAGCTGGGAACACAAGTGTGTGCCATCACATCCAGCATACTCTTCCCTATTGCACGTCTCACACCTGACCTACCACAGCTTCACTCATTCATTTCTCCAGGTAAATTACCTGTCTCCACCCACTGATAGTTCTCCAAGGCAAGGACGGTGTGTTATTGGCTAGTGACTGGCACATAGCAAGTACTCAATAAACTCGTAATACAGAAACGGACTTGTAACTATGTGGGAATTCCTTGTAGTTACAGTGGACCCTTGACAGGGACTTGATCAGTTCCTGAGGGCTGGTTATAACTCAAGGTGGTTAAAAGTCAATACAGCTGAGAGCCGGATGTTTACCTGGCTACAAGGTATAGATAACAAGAGGCAGATGAATCTTCCATTAACCTAATTAACCCAAGTTGTTCGTATGTCAGGCCAGTTGTAACTTGAGGGTCCAATGTATTTAAAATGTTTAAAATCCAATGCATACCAGACTAAATTTTATAAAGGCAAAGAGTCCAGGTTTATTTACTTATCCTATACCATCCATCCAGTAGAATGACAGCTATCAAAATATTATGGATTGTCTCGATGTTGGAATTACGAGGTCTTTTTGTTTCTTTGTATATCTGCATGTTACACAAAAACACTTTTGCTTATCTTTTCAAAAATTCAGAACATTGATATTAGAGAGCACTCTTCCTATATTTTAAATGAAAAAAAAAAGAAATTCACGCATTGCATTGTTCCATTTTTTAACAAACATAAGTGCATAGCGAAAAGACTGAGAGCAGCTCCTGGGTGCAGGATTAACGTTTGCTCATTTCGTGTCTCCACATTAAAACTACAAATTCATTTATAGCTAAGTGGATGCACATTGAGGCGATACTCTTAAGTGAAATAAATAGGACACACATGTGTAAATACCGAATAGTTTCTCTGGTGTGAGAAACTGAAAGTGTAAATAAGGACTAAATGTATAATAGGTCATGTGAAATAGGAAGAAAAGGGGCAAAGGGGAAGGAAGTGGGAGGGCTAGGGGAAAGGATAGAAGGGAATGGGATTAATATGAGAAAATGGGAAAACAGGAACAAAATCTTTGTAAATAGGGAGGAATGGAGGGGTTGAAGGGAGGGCTGGGCAAGGGTGAAAAATAAGAACCAAGAGAGACTATGTAAAGGTGCAAATTTCCAATGATGAATGTCATTATATTGTATACCTAAAATGTACCAATGATTAGAATGAATAATCGATAATGTAAAATAGGAAGAAAAGGTCCAAAGGGGTAGGGGTAGTGGGAGGGGCAGGGGAAAGGAAAGAAGGGAAAGGAAAAATGCTGAGAAATGGAAAAAACGGAAATAAAGTCTTTGTAAATAGGGAAGGGTGGAGGGGGTGAAGGGAGGGCTAGGAATGGGGAAAAAATAAGAACCAAGATGCATTATGTAAAGGTACAATTCCCAATGAGAAATGTAATTGTGTTGCATACCTAAAATGTACCAATAAAAGAATTAAAAAAAAAAAATCCCAACAAAGGCCACAGAGCGCGCGCACACTCCTGCCCGACAGCCCGGTAGAGTGCAGTGAGGGGGTTTTCAGCCGCCCGGCAGCCCCGAGGGGTCGCCCTCAGCGTGCACTGGCGAGGTGCAGGCCCGACCCAGGGGAGCAGGGCTCGGGCGCGGGGGACTCGCAGAATGCGGTTAACCGCGCCGAACAGCGCAGTCCGGTCCGTGCGGACCCCGGCCCGGTGTCCTCGCCGGGGCCCGCGGCCTGGCGCCTCTCGGGCGGGCGCGGCCCTGTCGCCCCCGGCCACCTCCGGCGCTTTATCGGGCCATCGCTTACATAAGGCCGCGGCCCTATCTCCGCGGGCATCGCCGCCCCGGCTCCGGCCGGGCCGAGGCCTGACTCACCCGGCTTGGCGCGGGGCTTTCCCGCGCCTTCCTCCTGGCGAGGCCGTGGGAGACGCAGGAGGAAGCTGAGGCGCACAGAGGGCGCTCGGGCAGCGGCCTCGAGGGCTGCAGCGGCCTCAGGTGCGGGCCTGAGGCGGCTGGCTCGGGTTGCTGGGAGGAGCCGCCTGGGGGCCTCTGCCGGCCAAGGGTCCCCAGGTGAGGACGGGCGCACTGCAGTGGCCCGACGCCGAGCAGCCGGTGTGGGGCGCGGGTCCTCGGGCCTGCCCAGGGCGGGGAAGTGGGTAAGGGAGCGGTCGTGACATCAGCCTCAATAGGCAAATGCTGTGGCCTCGGTGTGGGGCTTTCTCACTTCTTCCAAGAAGGCTACGTGCGGGCATCCTACGGGCGGGCTGCCCGCAGGAGGGACCCCGAGCCTCCTGCTCCCACAGCCGGTGCAGGGATGGAGGGACCCCAGCGTCCAGGCTGCCCGAGCCGTTCCCTTCAAAGCAACTAAAAATCAAGGATCCCAGGAGAACCTCGAATCTGGCTGGACCTTGCCTGAAGAGAGTCAGGGCTTTCATATTTCTTCCCACAGTGGCCAAGAAGGAATTGGTGGGTGGGAGATGTGAGCTTTACTCTCTGCTTTTGTCCTGCTTGAACTTTTTATCCAAAGCAAGCATTATTTGGTACTTTAAGAGACTTACTCCTTGAAAAGATGAAATTCCCGCATTCCTGGCTGGTAGACGGACGTGTGCGGCTGAGGACGTCTGCTCTTCCCACGGGGCGTGGGAGCGTGACGTTAGATCACATGTCGAGGTGCACGTAGAGCGGTCACCGGGCAAAATGCCAGACGGCAAGCTCCCACTGCCCACGCCAGGCTGCCCCCAGGACCCTCCCCCCAGCCCCTGGAATTGGGCCATTGAGATCCTGGAAACTATCAGGGGCGGTCAGTCCTTCAATCTACCTAAAAAGGGGGGTACCCTGGGTTAAGAAAGACCATAGAGACTCCCATAATTTCATAGCACGTAGGGGCTGGGAGCTCAGTGCCTCAGGGTAGGCAAAAACAAGACACTGAGCTCACCACTACTTATTGGGTGCACACAATCCCTGGAGGGAGCATCAGCTGGTGATGAGGGCTAAAGAGAGCATTGTTACAATAGTAGGCGGGACAAGAGAGCAGGCCAATAAGGAATCCGTCCCTCCCCCAGGTGAAACTTTTATTATTATTATTATTATTATTATTATTATTATTACTACTACTACTACTACTACTCGGCTCTCAAAGAACCAGAATGTCTTCATCATCACGGCATAACAGGACCACTGAGGCCTCAGCTGTGACCAGAGGCAAAATGGAGTTGTTTCCGAGTGCCAAACCTGACTGCACGGCAAGAAGACCAGGCCTCAAACAGCCCCAACAACAATTTAATTATGAAATGATTTTCCCCTAAAATTATGTAGAATTCTCTCGAGAGATCTCCCTTTCTTTTTATCGGCTTGTAGAAGTTGAATCATTGTGACCTGTGGTTCCACCGTCTCCGGACGTCATTTGATCTGGGCCCCTCTGCCACAGACTAAGATGAGAGCAAGGAGATACAATCCAATTACTATTAGCACAGCAACATAAGGCCAGAAATGAGCCTTGAGATAAATAACGGGACTAAGCTAATCAAGTATATCAGAACATTTTTCCCAGTTTTGAATCTGGCCATCAAAATTAGCAGTCTGTTGGGACACAGAGAAAACTTTTTTTTTGCAAAACCAGGGATTGAACTCAGGACCTTGCACTTGCCAGGCAGGCACGGTGCCACTGAGCTAAATCCCCAGCCCCTCAGAAAACTTTTTTTCTAGATCCATAGTTTTGTGCATTGCTCTTTGTATATGCTTGTTAACATGTTCCCATGGGTGGCTACACAGTTACAAGGTAAAGGAGCAATGCAAAATCAAGTATTATTAAAATGACATTTGAGGCCTTGTTGTAGCTATAATCTTTCAATGTCATCCCCCATCCAGAGAACAGTAATTTCAAGCACACTTACTTGGGACTGCATCTCAGCGTCTATCGAATGCTGTGTTTTCCAGGCCTCATCAGCAGTCATGATCCAATTATCTATGAAATGAGCTGTTTGAACGGAGTGGGCCAAGGCCACAGAGGAAACAGCTGCACCTGAAATCAATAATACCAAAGAGACTCTGCCAGCAACCATCAGTCCCAGCATTTTCTTTATTCTGTGTACAAGACAATCAAGCAGGACTTTTAAGAAATGAGCAGTAGGTGTACATGACCATGGTTCAGTTAGATCAACAGGAACCCATACTCCTGGCATACACTCTAGAATCATTAGAGTCTTATTTTGTACAGATCCGAAGGGAATACGATGACTCAAGGTGCATTTTTGACAGGTAAAAGTATTAATAGTCCATGGTATAGTCCCATACATGAAAACATACATTACAGATACACGTGGAAGCTCAAACAGGCCAAGAATACTCTGTGAACAGCATAATATTGCCAGAGTCTGATTTTAGAGAATTCCCAGTCCATCAGCTTCCTTCAGTATAGGGAAGAGCCAATTTCCATGTTTTTTGGACAAGCCCAAATTTTCCATAATGTAAAAACTGGGAAGAAGGTATATTAAAAGCTTCTTCTATCCAACTTATTTCCTTACTAGGGACAGAGTTTTTAGTCACGTTATCAAGGTTAGTCCAATTTAATTTATACCAGTCTGTATGATTGTCCTGTCTTCCCATAAAATTTCCCCATGGTCCTCATTATGAATTATGAATTATGAATAAATTCATACGGTCCCAATTTTCCATATCTTCCTGATCAACCCCTACATATATTCCACGATGGAGGTGCATTTTTATGAAATCCATTCCATGTAATATGGACCTAATAAATCGGATATTTGGGTAGAAAGGACTCTATTTGTTCTCCAGCCACATGAATGGACCGCAGAGTTAACATCACAAAGTTTTCAGGGGAATGGACCAACCAGGTCTTTGAGATGAGACTATTCCTGTAATAATGAGGCCTAGCAACCTTTTAGTCCCGTGGATTAGAGCAAGTAACAAATAAGATGTAGGGGAGTAGGCTCGGGTCTCAGAGTCACTGGTATTCAACTCTAGGCACTCTGCCCATACCCAGTAGTGCCTGATCAGACACTATTGTCCGGTTTTTACACAGTGACTGAGTCCACAGTTATTATAATCAAAGGAGTTTTCTTTCTAGGTTACTGTACCATAAAGAAAACAGGGATTATAGATACAAATACCAGTTTGAACATTTTGGTATAACTTTAAACATAGAATTTTTCTTTTCTGTGTTGAGGTCGAATCTACCAGTCCATACTTTACCCTGGACGGAAGACAACCCAAGCTTCCTGGATGGCAGCCATAGCTAGCATTTCTCCATTCTGTTAAAACACAAGCGTACCTTTCCCCACGTTATTAATTGTATTGAGCCACTTTACCTTTTAGTTAGGACATCCTTTTACAATACTTGTGTCTAGGGTGTGGCTGTAGATTTGTCCTTGTGCCAGTGGAGTTCTGATGGAGTACGTTTACTTTCCACAAGTGGATTTAAAGATTTTTAAATGAAAGTCAGGATCTAATTGTGCTTCTGGAGGTAGCTGTGCAACCTTTCTGTTTCAGAAGTCGTGCTTTAAATTTGACAATTGATATCGCTTCTCAGCCTTTTGGCTAAGATCAAGTGTAAATTTGACAACTGTCTCTGGGGTTTATATGGAATAAAAGTCTAATGTTTCAGTCTTTAAAATGATATATTTGGGGGCCGGGGATTTAGCTCAGTAGTTTCGCCGCCTGCTGCACAAGGATCTGAGTTCAATCTACGGTACCAAAAAATACAAATAAATAAATAAAATGATATATTTGGGATAAAAGAGCTGTATATATCTGTTTAGTACCACCAGCAAGCAAATTGATTTTAATCTTGTAAGTTATTTGGGTCTGTGCGTGGCTGCTGGCACTTTCGGAGCTTCTAACTTTTAGCCTGGGCGGCCCGTGAGCCCCCAGCTTGGGCTCCAAGGGCCCGCTGCTGGGAGCCCAGCAGACTCATTATTTTTCAGATAAGAATTAGTGGAAGTTCCAAAGATGTTAGAGTTCGTACCTTGGCTTGCAGAGGTGCAGAGGCCCATTTCCTGGGTTACATTGGCCGTATTCCCCTGCCTGTTTCTCGCTTGGTCTTCTGCAAGCTCCTACAAAATTAATTGTACATTAAAATGGAAGTACTGACTAGGGGACAAACAAGAAGGAGCAAGATGTCTAGCATCACGTGGGGTTAGATGGTAAGTCCCCAGCACAGAATCCCACACACCCAAAGTAAATGGTCCCTGAGTTCCATTATTAATGCTTTGTTTTAATTCCTTAAGCAGTTCAAAGTCAAACACCTAGTGTTCAGGAATAAACTGATTTTGGTTGTTTGGACTGGCCTTGTTCCTGAAAGAACGTCCCTCTGCATAGCTGCTTCCTTAACTAGCTGTTGATATTTAGACATACGAAAGCACAGAGCGTTTCTTCTTTAAGAAGCCTCGTGGTGCGGGCCAAGGCATCTCTTCATAACCCTAATCCAATTCTGGGTGTTCCCCAGGAGCTGGAGGAGGTCAGGTGACTTTTCCTCCTTAGTACATTTCTCCTCCTCATCCTGACGGAGGATAGGAGCCTTGGGCGGGGTAGAGTTTAAAGGACCCAAAACTGATTTTACTAGGCCCCAAGCTGAAAAGGTCTTAGGAGACATAGGCTCTCCCCTGCTGTGACCTCTTTTTAAATTTTCACCAGTCCTATCCCAATCCCACCTACGGGAATTTAACAATCTCACACACCATTTTAGTTAAGGTACCAGACTAACTTGCGCTCCGACCTGTTAAGCAGCACTCAAGAATTGGATGTAATTTTGCTGCTGTATAGACTGATTCTTCCCCGTTATCCAAGCTACGGAAACTTTCCATGACTCCAAGTGCTTTACCTTTTACTTTCTCTTTGGACACCTTCCGAACGACACGTCCTGACGTGGAATCTTCCCTCACAGGCTCGTGGGCACCAAATACTGGAGGATGAACAATCCTCCCATCTGCCTAAAAAGGGGGGTACCCTGGGCTAAAGAAAGACCATAGAGACTCGCATAATTTCATAGCACGTAGGGGGCCGGGAGGTCAGTGCCTCAGAGGGGGCAAAGACAAGACACTGAGCTCACCACTACTTATTTGGTGCACAGAGTCGCTGGAGGGAGCGTCAGATGGTTTAGGACTCAAAGGGTGGCGGTAAACCTATGTGGATGAGGGCAGTAAGAAGAGCATTGTTACAATCGTAGGTGGGACGAGAGAGCAGGCTAATAAGGAATCTGTCCTTCCCCCAGATGAAATCTTCTTTATTTTTTTTTATTACTACTCGGTTTTCGAAGAACCGGGATGTCTTCATCATCACAACGTAACGGGACCATTGAGGCCTCAGCTGTGACCAGAGCCAAAACGGAGTTATGTTTCCGAGTGCCAAACCTGACTGGAGGGCAAGAAGACCAGGCCTCAGACAGCCCCAACGACAATTCGATTATGAAATGATTTTTCCCCAAAATTATGTAGAATGCTCTCCACAGGAAACTGCCCTAGACCTTCCACAAGAAATCAAGCTCCTTCCTTTACATGATGCTGGATTTTCCACAAACTGAGATCAAGATGAGTAAAGATGTGGTTTGTAGATAGTGCCCAGCACAGCCGAGACCAGAGTTTGAGGCGTCACCTCTCGGGCCTATAAAAGTTGCCACCAGAGGCCCAGGCCATAGGCTGCTCTGCCGGGGCCGGTTCACGACGCGTCTGCGCCTCTGCCCTCTGCCCTCTCCTCATGGCGCTCTGGGTGACTGTGGTCCTCGCTCTCACCTGCCTCAGTGCCCTCACAGCCCCGGGCCCCGTGCCTTCCTCCGCAGCCCTCAGGGAGCTCATCGAGGAGCTGGCCAACGTCACGCAGAACCACAAGGTGAGTGTGGGCTCAGGACGAGGCCGTGAGCAGCCAGGCCTGGTCGCGTTCCTGTGGCTCAGGAAGTTGTCCCCGGGACCAGGGGCCTGGGCCCGGCAAGGGACAAACACACCCGGGAGGGGAGCCGGTGGCCCCCGGGGGACCAAACTGCCAGACCCCCAGCAGGGCTCCTCCTGAGCTGTTCCCAAGCAGTGGAAAGGAGGGAAAGGTCAGGACCCTCCTAGAGCATTTTGCCATTTTTCCAAATGGATTTTGAACACAGCAATCCAGCCTTTGTTCACAGCATCTTAGTTAATCCATCTGCCACGGAAGGATTCATGGGGAGACAGCTCCCCTCCCCACGGGCAGCACTCTCCCTATCCTGGGCCAGTGCTGGGTGCTTCACATGACCCTGTATCCACTCCCCTCCAGAGGCGGGCAAGAGGACACCACTTTGCTAAGTAAGGGTCAGTGAAGTAGACAAGGCCTGACCAACACCTGCACATCTGTGCTCGTAATGGCAGGGCCCCTTCCGAAGGCAGGGTACTCTGTGCCCAGAGCTGATCACCCTCCATCTGATTTTTCCCGGCCGATAGCGGCCTTGGGCTCCTGTCCCCAGTCAGGTCTGACCCTTCTCTACCGTCCCCTACCCTGGCTACAATGGCCTTTGAGTAAGGTTTTCCCCTGACCAGCTGTGTCTCTCAGCTTTTCTCTCTCAGCTCCAGGACTGAGTACATGTTCTCCCTCAGCCCCTCAAGCGGAGTAGAAATGAAGCTTGGGGCTGTCAAGGGGCTGCTGGGCCTGACCCTGGGCTCTAGCGGGGGTGCCTGTGGGACCCATCCTTGTGGGGAACTGGCCCCGGGCTTGCTGGGCCGGGCCCGCGACCGCCACCAGCACCCCACTCACTGGCTCTCTGCTCCCACAGACTCCCCTCTGCAGCGGCAGCATGGTGTGGAGTGTCAACCTGACAGCTGGCGTGGTAAGGACCTCCAGGAGCTGGGGGTGGCAGCAGGCCCCGGGGCTGGTCTCTCCTGAAGCCTGGGCTCGCTTGGCTGGGCCTTCCTGCCACCCAGACACACCTCCAGCCGGCCCACCTCTGGCCCACCCCTTCCTGTAGACACCCTGAAGGCAGGGCTTGGGGCCTGACCCTGTGGTTTCCTCCCAGTGGTACTGTGCTGCCCGCGAGTCCCTGATCAACGTCTCCAGCTGCAGCGCCCTGCAGAGGACCCAGAAGATCCTGAGCAGTCTCTGCCAGCACAGGGCCGTGGCCAAGGTAAGCAGCCCTCTGCATGTGCACACCCTGGGCGAGCCTGCCTGCCATGGAAGCCGGATGTGGACTTTGGGGTTTACAAGGCCCAGGCTCCAGGGCTCCTGACTCCGACCTGAGCCTCCGTAAAATACGGGAAACACCAGTACCCACCTGGCAGGGACTTTCTGAGGATTAAATGACAGGGCCCCTGGAAAGCCCCTGGGGGTGCTGGCTGTCTGCCTCTTGTCGTCCCACTGAGGTGTTGGTCTCTTTGTCCTGCGCAGGTTTCCAGCTTCCACAACCGAGACACCAAAATTGAAGTGGCCCAATTCGTGCAGACACTGCTCCGATATTTACAGAGCCTTTATCGCCACGGAAACTTCAACTGAGGCACGAAGTGGGCAGAGACAGGCGCTGATTATTTATGCTTCGGATCCATTTCTCTTTCTGACATCAGAAGCTCCTGGGGAGGCGGGAGGAGGGGGAGAAGGGAAGCTGGTTTTAGCTCGGACCTCAGCCTGTGCTGCCCGATTTCCACCCAGCCGGCCCCTTGTCAAGGTGCCCAGGATGGGCTCAAGCTCGGGGAGCCAGGGCGGAAGACTTCATCATGCCAGGCCACACTCCAAGCTGTGGCCCTGTCTCGGGTGCCACCCCTGCCAGACACTTGGCGGGCAGGGGACGCACTTCACACAGGAGCCTGACAGAGAGTGGCCTGGGCACATTTCTTCTTATTATTATTTATGATTGTGTGTTATTTAAATGAGTGTTTGTCGGTATTAGGTGGGGGAGACTGTTGCTGCCCGAGGGCCCCAAGCAGTGAGGGGCCTGGTACTGCGCACTGTGCACACAACTCTGCTACCTCACAGGGCGCCTGGCACCCCTGGGCCTCGCCTGAGCAGGGCTCCTGTCACCAGCCCGCATCCAGCCCTCACTAGAGTAATTTATTGTTTATTATCCCTTAAGTATTTAAACTAAGTTACCAAAGAGTTAATAATATGCGGGAGAGCGGCTGTGTGGGATGGCGGAGGGATTCTGGAGCAAGCTGTTTCATTGACCGTGTCAGCTGGAAACCTGAAATAAAGATGGTGACGGATAGGCCTGCTGATGTTTGCCTCTTTTTTGGCCTCAGACTCAGGGACTCTGAGGGCGGCGGGCTGGCTGGAGGGGAGAGGGCTTGAAGGGCAAGACTGGGCCTGAAACCAGGGACACATGGCGGGAGGGACACAGCCTAGACCGAGGACTCAGGTGGATGGAGCTCAGGGGAGGGAGGTGGCTTGCTCGGGCCGCATGCTGGAAAGAAGCAAAGCCGAAATTGGAAGAAAAAGGCACCCAGAGCGACCGCCCACGCTCTCAATGACGTCTCTCTGCCCAAATGTCGCCTGCATGGACACACCACTTCCCTCTAGACATGGTCATCAGTCTGCCGGGGTCTTCCCCAGGGGGCGTTCCCTGCTTCCAGTCAGTGTCTGGACACTCACCCTTCAGCAGGAGCGAGCTCACCCCCCTGGGCCTCGGGGACTGGCACAGAGCTGAGCGTGAGAGCCAAGGGCCCTGTCCAGATGGCTCCCGGGCGCCCTCTACATCTCCTTGGAGTGTCAGGGCCAGCAGCCCCAGGCTGCGGGACACAGCCACAGCGTCTCGGGGGCACCCAGCTCGTGGGGCGGCTCGGGACGCAGCGCCTTTGCAGTGGGTAGTGGGTTGTCAGGGACCAGCCTCTAATCCTGGGTGACAGGCGGGCGCCCTCGAAGGATGCCCAGAGCCCGTGACTGCTTGAGGCCCCGCAGCATCCAAGCAACAGCAGAGACCTGGCCGGGGGCTGGTGACTGACTGACTCGGTTGCTCCTCTCCGGTGTCACCTCGCTGCCACCCAGCGAGAGGGGAGGGGAGAAGCCAAGGAGGCGACGCAGGGAGCCAGGATGCCCAGCCGGGACAAGGCTCGGAAGCAGCACGGGCTGTCGGGCAGGGGTTGGGCTGGCTGCACAGAGGCTGTGTATGAGAGAACACTGATTTTTAAAACAGAACTTGGTGGCCCCTTGTCTGGAGCAGCATCTTTTTTTTTGGCACCAGGGATCGAACTCAGGACCTTCTGCTTTCAAGGCAGGCGCCGGAACCACTGAGCTAAATCCCTGGCCCAAGAAATAATTTTTTTTTTTTTTTTTTTTGGTACTGGGGATCAAACTCGGGTCCATGCGCTTGCAAGGCAGGCGGTGGAACCACTGAGCTAAATCCCTGGCCCTGGAGCAGCATCTTGACCCAGCATCTTCTCCACAACCAAGACACTGACCTGTTGGTCCAAAAAGAAGCTGGAAATACTTCCAGTGAAGTCCCTCGGGAATCCCTCGAGAACAAAGCCTGGCACTGGGGCTCATGGGGGGCAGGGTCCCAAGGGATTCTTTTCAAGGACTTCTTCCAAGCCACTTATTGCAGTGGGCCTGGCAGACGGTGCCCAGTGAAGACAGGGCTGTGCCGGGCCCTGCCACTAGGGGTCCACAGCTCACCACATCCTCAGCCTGGCCTGGGCGCCTGGCTTGGACTTCTGTGACTGTCCTCCAGGCAGGGGCCTGTGATCCCCAGCAGGGTGCAGTGAGCTGCAGAGAGCCAGAAAACTGCCGTGGCTCTTGACAAAGGAGGTGACCCACTTAGGAATGAGAGGAAGAGGGGGAGCAGGAAAAAGGTGTTGTCTGTCAGCCACTGAGGCTAGGACCAAGCCTGGGGTCCTTGGTGGGAGCTGTCTCCAGCCTGTGGTAGCCTGGCTTCTTCATCACCTGCCAGACCCTCAGCAGGGCCCAGGGAGAGGAGATCAGGGTGCCTGGTGAGTGGGAGGAAGATGCTGTTAGGGGCCCGGGGGGGCCCTCAGCACCCCCAAACCCCAGGCCCAGGAGATTTTTCTAGAAGAGGGGCCAGGGCTCAGGTGAGAAGGGAGACAGACATGCGAGTTTCTGGTGAACCCCGCATCAAACACTTCTGTGTGCTGCCGCAGAGGTGTCAGAATGCTCTGCAAGTCACTTGGAGTTTCTCTGAGGGGTGAGGAGGAGCGGGCACAGGGACAAGGCCCACACCGGCTTCCCTGAGGCCAAGGAGCGGCCTGAGGCTTGGGTTCCCAAGACGCCAGCTGATCAGTTCTTCAGTGCAGCAGCAGGGAGGTGCAGGCACCTTATGCTTGGCCTCACCTAGCTGGCCAGCTGTGACTCACCCCGCTCCCCTGGCCCTCTCCCTTCCGTGAAGCCGGGGGCAGAGGCCGGCCGTGCTCTGGTGTGGACACTCTGCCCGCGACTCGAGGCTTCTGGAGGTGCAGATGGCCGGGACCGGGCACCCTCCTGTGCACTGCCCTCTCTTATTCTGAAAAATAAGTCACGAGGCCTCGTTATCTTCGTTCATTTCTCAGCTCCACCCAGAGCGACAAGGCACAAGGTTTGCAACGAACTTTCCCAGATCAACTGATTTCTCGGCAGTCAGGGAGGGCCCCATGACGAAGCCATTTGAAATCCCAGAAGCGATTTTCTACTTACCACCTCACTTTCTGTTGCTGCCTCTCCCTTCCCCTCCACAGTGCCTTCTCTTGTGGAAAGTGATTCTCTCGCAGCAGCATCAGAAACTCCCCAGCCCAAGCCCTGCCGGGCTGCTGTGCGGTCAGAGGTGACGTAGGCCCAGAGTTAAAATAGCAACTCTCGTCGCTGTGGACAAGTGTGCGGGGTGCACTGCCCTTCCTGAGCCCGGGGCGGGGGGCACCACCGTATCCCCTCCACACCTGCCTCCCCTGACCTGGTGACCCCTGGCCAGAGTGGGGGACACCTGCCCCGCCCAGCGTCTCCGGCGGGGGCCTGCAGTGACCACAAGTCCAGAGGGGCGGCCTCCTCCTCATGTTCCTCTCATTTCTGTTTCCCACATTTTCTGTGAGGCCCACACATTCGTTTCCCAACAGGGAGCAAAGACAAATTTACAAAGCGAAGAACTCCAAAACCATGCCTGGCCTTTGGAGGGAGCAGATCAGGACAGGGCGGAGAAGGCTCAGCAGTGTCCCAGGAGGGGAGCTGGGGCCTACGGGGCGCTTGCGGCCAGAGCAGAGGCCTCCCCTCCGCCGGGCTGGGCCTGGCAGATCCACCAGAGGAGGGCGCTGCAGGGCCTGGGGCAGACGGGAGAAGCCAGCTGCCCATGCAGCCGCTGTGCTGTGCTCCCTGCCGCCAGCCCTCCTCAGCAGGCCCTGTCCTGTCCCCCGTCAGCGAGGCAGGCAGAATGTGCCCTCAGGACTTTGGGGTAACGTCAGCCCAGACCTCAAGTCCTGCTGTGTCCGTGACTCCGGCACCATCACCTGGGCCCAGGCTCAGCCGCCTCTGGGCACCGCAGCGCCACTGTTCATCCTCCAGGAGTTCACGGGGACCACAGGCGCCAGACACCATGCCGGGTGCTGGAGGATGTGTAGGGGCCCTGAGGGCTGCAGGGGAGACAGGAGTCCAGGGGCCCCAAGAGATGCTCCCCCATACACGGGATGCGAGCAGAGGGGCAGATGGAGGAAAGGATGGAGGCCAGGGAGAGGGACCTCAGGGCCAGGGGCTGTGCTGGGGGACTCGGGAGCCTGGGCGGAGCCCGCGCAGGGGAGGGGGCAGGAGCCTCACCAGGCCAGGCCACAGGCGGACGGCCTTAGAGAGCCGGTCTGGCCAATATGTACAAGTTCTATTGTAAGAATAAATATTTTTCACCGCCTGCTGTGCAAGAGCAAGGACCCAAGTTCGATCCCTGCTACCAAAAAAAGAATAAATATTTTACCATCCATTTAAATTTTGATTTTGGGGTGCTGAGGATCAAACCCAAGGCCCGTACGTGAGAGGCAAGGGCTCCACCACTGAGCCAAGCCCCACATAAAATAAAAACCTTTTTATCATAGAGAATTTCAAACATTTCAGAAGTGGCTCCCAGGTCCGGTCCTGCAGCCCCACTAACCAGCACTGCCGGGCAGTGTTGTCACCTCCCTGAGCCACCACAGCAGTGCATAGGGCGGTGAGGACCTGAGCACAGTGCGTCCCACCCAGCAGCACCTCTGCCCGAAGCCCCCATGTGGCCACGGAGACGGAGCCCACAGAGACGGAACCCACAGAGACGGAGACGCTGAGACGGAGCCCGGCTCTGCAGGCCACGCCCGCCGCCCACTGATGCTGATGCCTCTTATCAGCTTCACTCCTCCCCACCCCTCCCACCAACGGCCTGGCCGCTCACCCCTCTGATGACGGCGATACGCGGCCCCCGCTTCTCCTTTCTGAAAACCTTCCGCCTGCGTTCCGCTGGGGGCTGAATGCTGGGGTCATCTCCTGTCTCCCTTCGCCCAGTCATGCTCCTGCGCTGTCATTCTGTCTGGGCTCAGAGCTGTGGCAGCTCATCATTCCTCCCACCTCCTGCTCTCTAAAGAGCCACTATTTTTTCCCCTTGGTTTTTTGAGACAGGGTCTCACTATGTAGTTCAGGCTGGCCTTGAACTCACTATGTAGCCTAGGCTGGCCTCAATCTGAAGAGATCCTCCTGCCTCGGCCTCCTGAGTGCTGAGATCTGTCGTGTACCACCACACCTGACAATTGGCTCAGTTTTAAGGGTCATTTTCCCAAGGTCACTCAGAGTGGCATCAGGTCTCATCGACTCCTGGCCTTAACTTTGACACTAGCATGTGCGAGTGACTTGGATCCACACCATCCTTCCCACTGCCCACCTCCCTGCAGACAGAAAGGTCCATCCCCCCCACTCCCCCTTTGATACTGAGGCTTAGACCCAAGGCCTTCCATGTCCAGCATATGCTAGGCAAGCAATCTTCCATCTGAGCTACATCCTGCCCCATTTAACTCACCTTGAGACAGAGTGTTTCTGTTTCCCTGCCCAGCTGCAAACCCGAAACCCTCTAGCAAGGACAGGATACGGTAGCTCACTGATGAGCCCCCGCTGAACAGGCTCTGGGGGGATGCAGGGCGGGGGCCCATGGGTGGGGAGGCAGGCTCTGAGAGGCCATGGACGGCTGTGTTCAGCAGGCTCTCGGAGCACCATTCAGGACTGGACCTAGGGCTGAAGGGTTCCTGGACAGAGATGGCAAAGCAGAAGAGGAGCGTGACATGGGAGCCTTAGCTCAGGAGCAGAGCAAGGCTTGTCTGGGTTTGTTCCAACGGTTGCATGGGGCCAGGAATAAGAGAACTTCCTTGAACAACTGGAAGTGGCCATGAAGTTCCCTGAAGAGCAGAAGCAGATGGGCCATCCCACCCCACAGAGCCTTGGAGCGGAGGGTGTGGCCGGCCACACAGAGTTGCAAAGGTGGATGTTATGTTTGGGGGGGCACAGAGAGAGGGGGCCATCACCACGAAAGGACCCCCAGTCCTCCAGGAGTCGTGGGTAGGGCAGGTGGGCCCTGAGGTCAGGGAGGAAGGTGAGGACTACTGGCCTCCGGCCGGGTCTGTCACAGTCTCGGGAGCCTCCAGGTTGGGGGCACTGCCTTCCATCGCCGCTGCGCCTGCCTGGGGCAGATGCTGAGGCTCTAAGCTGGACCCACCCTCGGTGCCAACTCTTTGGGCAGGTTCTTATGCAGATCTTGTGCCATGTAGGAGCTGTGACCTCTCCTGTAGCACCTGCCTGAGTTCTCCAACTCGTTCTAGCAAATCCCTGGGAGGGTGGCAACCCCCACATTTGTAACTGGTTGGTCAGGAGAGTAGACTGGAGGCCCCTGGACATGCAGCTGGTCTGGAGGGGGAGTTGGTGGAGCACGAGCCCTGCACCCGTCAGGTTTGGCCCAGCCCCACATAGCAGGTGTCGCAAGTCACCACATTGAGTTTGGGGCCTCGCTGCACAGGCCCAAGGGCAGGATGCTGAGCCTGGTCTGGGGCCAGCAATGTCCGGATTCCCGCTTCACGGGGCGGGAGCGCTGGTGAAACCCGCAGCTCTACAGAGCCTTGTAACACACGCATCAACCTGCAGGACACGGCCCTAGGCGAAGCAAGCCACACCCAGGACCAAGGCCACACGGCATCCCTTCCTTGTGGAATGCAAACAAGGTGCACTGGCAGAAGCAGAGGCTAAACAGTAGTCACCGGGAGGAGGGGGAGGAAGGCTGAGGGAAAAAGGATACAATGTCCTGTTAGAGATAAGCTCAAGGGGTGCCAGAAGTCTGTGACTATAGTTAACAAGAAAACTGTATCCGTAAATATTGGAGAGCAGCTCTTAAGTGATTGCCACAAGTAAATGAGGCAGGCATTTGCTCATTGGCTTGCTTTGACAATCCCACAATGTATACGTTTTATAAATACACACAAGTGTTGTCAATGCTATAACATGAAGAAAAAAGGTGCAAAACACATCACCTTAGCAACAGACATTTCCAGGTGATCGTCTGGAGAAAGTCAGTAGACCAAGGATCAGAAACCAGGCCAGGGGGGCCGGGGATTTAGCTCAGTGGTTTTGCTGCCTACTGCACAAGCGCAAGGACCTGAGTTCGATCCCCAGCACCAAAAAAAAAAAAAATCAAAATTAGAAACCAGGCCAGGGACATGGAGAGAACTGGCTGTGGGGGAAGTGCAGTGCACATTGGGCCCAGGGATCCTTGCTGCAGAGGGGAATGGGGGCTTCAGAACCCAGGGAGTGGCAGGGCGAGGGGCACCCACCAGAGCACAGGGCATGCACAGAGTTCTACTGCACAAGTGGCCATTGCTGAGACCTTGGGACAGTCAAGCTTCAATGTGACCAAGTCTCCTTATCAGTAAAGACCACAGGGGCCTGCTGGGACCCAAACTGGGCCCACCTGGTGTCGCCTGTCCCTCTCCGAAGACCTCACCTTTTGAGAATAGCAAGCCCCCATGCTAGGCCGGGTGTGGAATGTGCCTGTGACCCTCCTTCACCCGGAGAACCGCCCCAGGTCAGCTTTCCCATGACAGGCGTCTCCAGGTGCCCCCATCCGCCCCGTACCTGGAAGAAGCCAGGTCGCAATACCATGCAAGTCACTTTCTTGATATTACTCTATCTTTCCCCAGGAGGACTGCACTAGCACAAACTCGGACACCTGTGGCCTCTTCCTCCTATGCAAAGCAAAAAGGAGCACCAACCCCAAGCTGATAAGATTAATCTAAAGAGCAAATTATGGTGTAATTTCCTATGCTGAAACTTTGTAGTTAATTTTAAAAAAAGGTTTCATTTTCCTCTTGGTCTGATTTCACAGGAACATTTAACCTGTTTTGGTGAGGCATTTTTTCTCCTGGAAGAGAGGCACTGATTGGCCCCAAATGACTGACAATCTGGTGTAACAAAAATTTCCAACGTAAACTCATTTTCCCTTGGTTTCAGCAATTTTAAATCTATATATAGAGATATCTTTGTCAGAATTGCATTGTTAGCTTCCCCTGATAAACTAATTGTCCCACGTTGTCACTGCCAAGAGAGATCTATTGATGGGTCTTGTCCCCCAGCTGACAGTCACCCTGTTCTGCCTCCTAGCATGTACCGGCACCTTCGTCCGTGGCTGCAACGATGCCTTACAAGAAATCATCAATGATCTGAATGTGCTCTCAAGCCAAAAGGTAAGTTGCATCTGGCACCATCTCTCCAGAGGCAGCGGGTAGTTCTAGACCCTGAACAGGCCACAGCGGCTGGAGATGCTGGTGGCGGGTGGCTGGAGGCGGACAGGGGCAGAGAGAGCCCTCTCCCCTGCCACTTTCTGCTGGGGACTGTGGGACGCTTGTCAGGGTGAGGGAGTGATAGCTGCCTGGGGGGGTTGTGTCCCACTGAGGTTAACTCTGTCTCTTGCTCCGTGATTCCCACCTTTGCCAAGACTCCATGTGCTGAGCTGGCTGCTGCAGACGTCTTCGCTGCCCCCAAGGTAAGAGGCTGCTCCCTGGTCTTCCTCGGCCGATGGGCCGCCTGGGGAGGGGGGATCCTCCAGCATTTAAACAAGAAACTGCAAGGATAATGAGCAGGTCCGAGTGACCCATAAGGGTTAGGAGTGTTTGTCCTGTGAGAATTCTGATCTGTAAGTTGTTCTGGAGTTTCTGGTTTCGTGTGATTCAGAAGATGGGTTACAGAAAGCTTGGATTCTGTGACCCTAACCAGGAGGAAAAAGCAGGCGAGGAAAAACTCTTGAGGGTTTGCCCGGGCATCGGGGCCCCTGGCACACGGAGGGGTGGGGGGATTCACAAGTGCCTGGAGGATGAAAGGATTGTTCTGGCCCTTTCTGGCCTTTCTGAAAACCCAAACACTCTCACAAAAACAGATATTGAGATTACAGGTCAGGGAGCTTTCACTTTGTCTAAGAAACTTCCTACGGCAACAGAAAAGGTATCGCAGAGCCCTCCTCTCCCGGCCTGTCACCTGACACACGCTGGGCCCGACCGCTCGGCTCCGGAGGCCTCGGCTTGCACTGTGCTGCCCGAGTCCCCTCCGGCCTGTCCGGAGCCGCCCTGCTGAGCACAGTCCCTTCATCCCTGCCTCTGGCTGCCTGGGCATCTGTCACCCCCACCCCCATCTGCAGTGGGAGGAGACAGATGTGACAGCTGATAGTGCCTTTGCTCCGACAAACACATGACTGTGGCCGTATCAATAGCTCTGAGCTCTTCAGTTCCTGTTTTCATGGAAACACACAACTGAGAATGAAAGGCCCAGAGCCTCCACGTACAGTGGTCTCCTAGCTGCCTGCTTCCCATGTGCACTAGAGGGGCACCTGAGCCCCGAGTGGGTGGGCCACACCCCAGAGCCAGGCCACCTGCAGGACCATCCTGCCTCAGGCCGTATCTGGACCACCTTGTCTCATTGGAGATTTCTCCAGGACTCTTTCGTCTATGACGTTTTATGTATCTTTGTACGTATGAGATCTCAAAGTCCTTCTGGCCCAGGTGATGCCTTCTAGTAGCCAAGCTCCTGGGCTGTCCAGGCTTTTTTTTTTTTTAACATTTTTATTTAAGGCCTTTTTTTTTTTTCGGTACCGGGGATCAAACTCAGGATCTTGCACTTGTGAGGCAGGCGGTGGAATCCCTGAGCTAAATCTCTGGCCCTGTCCAGGCTTTCTGAGGCCGCTCTGCCAAGGCCACGGCAAGGGACTGGCTCAGCGGAACCGGCCCCGAGGGGGCGCAGAGGACTGGCGGTGAGGGAGCCCTGGGGCTGAAGCAGCATGAACTAGCTGTGTGCTGTTTGGCAATCTCTCCACCCCCTTCACCCTCAGTTTCCACACCTGAATATAGGAAAGTGATTGTAAAGGGTTTTGAAGGCTGGTTGGAATCTAGCTCTTGCGTTAGGGGAAAGTGTTAATGTAAGATGATATAATCCTGATTAAAAGCGCAGCCTGGGCGGAGAGCAGCACTGATTCTAGGAAGGAAAGGATCGGAACCTCCTGACTCCGAGCCCGGGGTGACCCTCTAGGCCTTCCCACAGGACCCTGCCCACCTTCCCTCACCCCACGCAGACACCCCCTAAGCCACTCCCCCGCCTTCTGCACACTCACCTGTCTCTCGTGCCCGCCGCAGGCTGCTCTGTGCCTTCTGGCACCAACAAGCGCAGCCTCTCATTCCTTCCTGTCCCTCAGACTCAGCCCAGCTGGCTTATACTAAGGTGTCGGACCGGGAGACACTGTTCTCAGACCCGTGAACCTGTGTGGGAGGCTTCTTTGGGTCCCGGGGCCAAACCCAACACATTCATTTTCTTTCTGTTGAGGATCAAGAATTCCAGCTTTTCCATGTTGAGCAGCATCCTGGTCCTGGCAGTTGCTGGGAAGAATATACTGCTCTAAATCCTAGGCTTTAAAGGCAACACCTGCCCAGGCATAGATGAAATCAAGGCTGTTTGAGGAAAAGCAAAGTGGAGTCAAGCAAGCTACCTGCTCTGTGAGGGACTTTTTGGGTGAAGGCCTTTCCTGGTTATCAAAGAGAACTAAAGTCCATAATTCTTCAGTGAGCTCCATACTGAACTTAAATAGTGTGTGTGTATGTGTGTGTGTGTGTGTGTGTGTGTGTGTGTAGGGGTGTTTTTGGTAGTACTGGAGATTGAACCCAGGAAGCACTGAGCTACATCCTCAGCCCTTTCCATTTCATTTTGAGACAGTCTTGCTCAGTTGCTGACTGACCTTGGAATTGGGAAGCCCTTGCCTCAGCTTCCTAAGTGGGGTTATGGGCATGCACCATTACTCCTGGCTCCAATATTGCCTGCCCCACCCCATCTATAGCACTGACTAAATTTGGGTGGAATTGGAGATAATGAAAACAATACCACAGCCCTAAATGAGGGTAGCTGAGAACCACTTAGAATGCTGTCACTGCCACAGGAGCGGCTCCCAGGTGGCCATTCTCTGACATCTGGGTGAGATACGCTTGCTTCTGCTGTGGCCTAGGTCGACAGTGGTGGCGAACTTTGGCATGCGTGCCGCAGTGGGCTGTTTATATCACCAAAAGCTCTAACAGGTTCACCATCATGGGCCCAGGATCACCTTCTGAGCCTTTTCCTGAGCAGCTCCAAGCTGCCTGGACCTCGGGGCCGTCTAAGGCCACTCAGGCCCCAGGCAGAGGGGACAGAGGGCCAAGAAGCTGCGGCAGCATAGAGGGCCTTCCTCCTTCAGCAAAACCAGGGAAACTAAATTGCTAGACCTTTAACTAAAACTGCCTTTGGAATTTGCTCTTCAAAATGTTTGCCATCTGATGCAGATTCTTTTCAGTTCAAGTTGCATCCTAACTACCTTTAGCAAATCCTTTGCAAAACACCTTTAGAGGTTTTTCCCTGTATGATGTGGCTATTTCCTGGTTAAAAGCAACAGGCAGCTCAGGCTTTTTTTGACTGTTCCTTTCAAAAAATCAGTGTAATAACACTAATGATTTGTCTTGATGGAATCATTGTTTAGAATGTAAAAATGGGGAAAGTGGCCACTTATTTCCATTAGTCCTTTTTATATTGAATACTTCGTTAGATACATGTTACTCCCCTCCCCTCTTTTTAGTCAATATTTGTAGTAAAAGAAAAAATGATGATATAATATGGAAAGTCTAAACTGCATGCTCTGGAAACATTTTTTTCAGATGCATTTGGTTTAAAGGGTAGGTATAAGACTCTCAGAATCCAAACAGCCAAACGTTACTGTAAATCCATTTGTTTTCTCTTTTCACATGGGGAATAATGTCAAATGTGCTATGCAGCCAGGTTAACGTTTTAGACAAACTTGATTGACTTTTCATATAAACTGTTACAATGCACACTGATTGTATATAAAAACCTTATATGTGACAAATTAAATTTAAGAAAAAGAAAAAAAAAACAACAACAGGCCGTTTAATTCCTGGGCTTCAAGCCAAAGTTTCAGAAAAGCCCGACTAGGTTTTGATGGGAAACGCAAAGGCGCTCTGCCTCGGCCTTCCTGAATCTCATGTGCGCACCAGCAGCAAGGGCTCGCTTGCTCGGGCACAGCAGGGTCGCCCCCGCTGTCCTTGCCCTCTGCCCACCCCAGAGCACGCAGGCGAGACCTGGCCCCACTGTCGCACTTCCCACTAAGCCAGGGACCAGAAGCGAGCTCGGCCGGCCGGGTGGCCTGGAGCACCTGCCCCAGGCGGAAAGGGAGGCGCGGTGGATTCTGGGTCCACAGCGTCCTGAAGTCCCTACGATCACAGAGCTGTCTCACTGCCACTCTATTTACAGAAGAAAAATCGGCCACAATAGGACATGGATAAACTACAGCGCAAACGTGCAACTGGTCTCCCGGCAGCTCCTAGTGCCCTGCTCTGGGGACTCCGGGAAGCTAGCAGGCTAGGTCAAGGGTGAAAGTCACAGGACAGAGCCAACAGTTGGTCCTTACTGGGGGGGATTTAACAACCTGGAAAGATGTTTAGCAAAATATTATCGGTCGTTATCTCTGGCTGGTGGGACTGCTAAATATGCCTAATGTTGAAATCTGGAGAAAGTGTGTTGGAACAGTGCTTCTCAGGTCAGGCCTCAGGGATCCTGTCACCACACCCTGACTCAGTGGGCCTAGGAGCCGCTTTTCTAACAAGTTCCTGGCAACGTCCCTGCCGCCGGTCGGCCATGGCCACTTTGAGGATCAAGGCCCCCGGGTGTCCTGGCAAAGGCTAAGGCAGCTTCATCGACCTGGATGATGAAGTTGGGCTCAATGAGATGACACAGTCGCTCCCCAGCTTCCCATAAGAGCTGCCGCCCAGCTGTCCCTCCCCTCTGCTAGGCCCAGCGTCCCCAGAAGAGCTGTGCACCCAGCACCACGCCAGCATGGCCGCGTTCCAGAGTCCTCACTCTGCGCCACTCCTGGCCAAAGGCCCCTTGCAGCAGCTCTGTCCAGGGCCCAGTCCAACGGTCCTTCTCCCGGCCTCCCCTGACCCCTCAGGCCAGACCCCTGCACCCCTTTTACCGACCCGCTGCACGGAAGAAGTGCCCAGCCTCCACACTGTGGGAGCCCAAACTCCTGCACACACGGCTCTCCTGTGGGGCACGCCGTCTGGGAGCGGGCGCCAAGCCACAACCTGCTGCCCAGACACCGCCCCTGTCATGCAGCGTGCTGTGGGGCTTCCAGGGTCAGCTTGCAGGAAAGGAGCTAGCATGACATAAAGACAGAGACGGGCTTCAGCGACCGCGGCCCTGTACTCAGATCCCTGCTCCACTGTGGCCAGATCACCTGGCTTTGTTCAGGGGCCCTTCCACCACACTCTCCATGGGAAAAGAATCGGGAGGCTCTGAGTAGAAGGCTGAGCATTGCTGAGCAATTGCCAGAGGCTCACGGCTGATGAGCGGCCTTCCTTCGTGGTGCAAGGCTACTTGAATAGAGTAGATCCATACAACTCAACCTTCTCTGTGTCTTCCTGGAAGGAAGAAACCAGGAGAAACCTCTCCCCTGTGTTCACAACAGAGAAGCACATGGCCCTCTGGCGTTTCTCTTTGCAGGACACAGCCGAGAAGCTGTGCCAGGCTGTGACAGTGCTGCATCGCACATCCTACCTCGGGGTGGGGCTTTCGTGCCTGAACAGACACAGAGAATCAGTCTTTCTGGTTCTCCTGAAGAAGGTCTACAGGAACCTCAGGAGCATGGTTCAGCCGGTAAGCCTCATACGGAACGACCCTCCCTCCGATAACCAGCCTCCGCCCAGGCTCCACCCCAGGTGCTGCTTTGGGAGCCAGGATGCAGCTTCAGAGGTAGAAAAGCCAAACATGCGATCCGACGTCGGCCAGGGAGAGAACAGGGAGAAAGCGAGGGGCACGAGCACAGGCCGTGGGCGAGGAGACCGATGTGGGAATCAGCCACGCTGAGCAACACGTGGACGGAGCGGGCCGCGGGGTTCACACACAGGAACAGCTGTGCGGCGGCGGGAGGATGAGCCCACACGGGCCTTTGGGTCCCCCCAAGCCCGAGCCTGGTGGGAGACACCTGCAGAGCTCTGGGCGGGCCAGGGGTAATGCTCTGACTTTAAGCAACTGGCAAAGAGTGCCGGGGAGTTGAGAGGCGTCGCCGGGGGCCTGGGGGAGACGCCGCAGACAGCCAGAGAGGGCGCGTGGGCTAGGGCAGCAGGGAGCTGCTGGGTGTGGGCGCAGCACAGCTAACAGCAGAGCGCACGGACCTGCACACAGGGTGGCGTCCTGCTGCCCTGCCTGAGCCCTTTGGGGCCGGTTGGTGCCTCAGAGACGGGGGAGCGCGGGGCGAAGCAGGGCTTGGGGCTGAGCCGAGGATGGAGCTCAGCGACGTGGAGCTGTGAGCACTGCTCGGGGAGTCCACTGCGGGGCTCCATCCCCGGCACCATGGAAAAGAAACACAAGGAAGGGCATCCACCGGGAGCCCAGGTAGAGGTGTTAAGATGAATGCCGCTAGGAGAGCTCGGAACTAGGAGTGGGAGCGGAGAGTGCTCAGGTAACGTGTAAGTGCCGAGAGAGACAGAGAGCCAGGCCGAGCCCGAGACAGTCCACGCCCGAGTGCAGGGAGAGGAGCGCCCAGCACGGGGCCTGGGAAGCTCTGCCAAGGAAGGGGAGGGAAACGTGGCGTGGCTGCGGTCCCAGGAGGCAAGTGAGGAAACTCTTCTGGGGAGGGAGCGACCGTCCTGGCCCCTGCGTCCTGGCCCGCAAGGTCGAACGAGATGGACTGACGAGGCCGCTGGGCTTGGCACGATGGCGGTCACGGGCCGAGCTGACAGAGAGGCACAGGCAGGGAGAAAGACGGGAGAGTGGGCGGGCAGTGGGAAGTCTGGGCTGCTCTGCTCTGAGAGAGAGACGTGGACTCACAGCCCAGGGGCACGTGTGGAGCGAGGGAAGCACAGCAGTGCCGCGTGGTGCCGCTGGCCGCTGCTTCCCGGCGGGAGGGCGACCCGGCTGTCCCTGGCGGCTCAGGAGCCAGCAGAGCCAGGGCCAGTGGGCAGGGCCGAGCCGCACCTCCGCACGGCCCCCTGAGCAGCCCCAGCTGGAGACTGTGGGCTCTGAAGACAGACGTGGCCTGGGGCCGTGCTGCAGTCACCAGTGCCGCAGGCACCAAATCGCAGGCGAATCCTGGGCCCGGCGGCCACGACTCCCAGCCGGGCCAGACTGCAGGCCCTGGCGATGCCAGTCAGCTCGACCCCGCACACGGGCGGCAGTAAGACGCCAGGCCCTGACCTGAGCTAACACGAGGTTTCTTTTGTAGAACTGTTCTGTGAGTGAACTCAAGCAGACGACGTTGAAAGACTTCTTGGAAAACCTAAAAACGATCCTGAAAAAGAAATACTCAGAGTGTTGACGCTCGACATTTTAATTTATGAATTTTAATGGCTTTATTTTAAAAATATTTATATATTTATAACTCATTATAAAATAAAGTATATGTAAAATCTAATGGCAGTGTTTAATGGTATTGGGTATGTTTACTTGGCAAATGAGGTTTGTAACTTTTATAGAAACCAGTTGTAGTTACTGAGAGGATATAAATGGTTTGGGACCAAGTGGAAAGACTACTTCTTTCTCAAGGACTTCCTTCTTGGGAAATTAATACACAAGATGATTACAGAACACAAAGCCACGCAATATGTGTGTCAGGAGAGCTTGCACAGTGAGACTGAGCCCTGCTGTCACATATTTCTGACTGAAAAGGTATCGGTTGGATGCTTAGAACATTTTTCTCCCACTGGGGAAAGAAATGAGTAATTCGCATTCACTAGATGTCTCTGCAGTGACCGATATTCAAAGTCATCATAATGCGAATCCTCCGATAGACAAGACACACGAGACTTAATGATGGGCAGAGGGCAGACCCTAAATCCTCCCACCTGACAACATAACAGGGACACGGCTGGGAAGTCAGGCAGAGCAGAGAAAGGGGCTGATCTCCCGGTTGCCCCGGGAGAGGGTTGGTCAGAGAGCACCGTCTCAGGTCTGGGGAGCAAGAGCAAGAGATTTGCGACTCAAAGCTGCAGAGGTAATAGAACTAAAAATATTTACTACAAAACACTCAGAAGGGAAGCTGAATGTGCTGGCACACGACTGCCATCCCAGCTACTCCAGAGGCTGAGGCAGGAGGATGCTTGTGCCCAAGAGTTCAAAACCAGCCCAAACAACATAGTTAAATGCTGTCTAAAGAGAAATACAGGAGGCAATAGTGCAAATGCAGGGCACTCTCATTTTAAAATAGGGAAATAAATACGTAATATGTAAAGTTGATGAAGACAAAACGGTTGATAAGTGAGATCCTACGGTGATGGTTTTAGTTGTAGCTGGGAATTGGGTGCGTGGGGATTGATTGGACTACTCTGGTTTTATACATATTTAAAATTTTTCATAATAAAAAGTGAAAGGAAAACTAACAAGTAACGAAGAAATCTTTATAATGGTGGCCACTAGAAAAACAAAAAACCACAAAAGGCAAACTGGCTTGCTGGAAATAGTTTAGTGCTTGGACTAAGGCAGAGAGATGCAGTGCTGGAGACAATTGGCTTTCCATTATAAGTCTGTGTGTGTAAATAATAAAGTATTTTTAAATTAAAGAAGAAAATTTAAGAGACACGATCAACCAAGCATGGGGCACACATCTGTAGTCGCAGTACTGTGAGAGGCTCAGGCAGAAGGATGGCAAGTTTGAGCCCAGCCTGGGCAACTTAGAGACTTAGTGAGACCCTGTCTCCAAAAAATTTAAGAAGGCAGGGCATGTGTCTCTGTGTGAAGGCCCAGAGTTCAATATCTAGTACTACAAAAAACAAGCATCCAAACAAGCGTTGGCAAAAATGCAGAAAAACTGGAAACCTTTGTATGTTGTGGGTGTGATTGGAAAATAGTGTGGCCACTCTGGAAAACCTCAACCGGTTAAACATAGTTTATGACCCTGCAATTCCAATCCTATACATACTCAAGAGACCTGAAACATATGTCCACACAAAAACCTCTACACAAAGGTCCACAGCAGCATTATTCCCAGTAGCAAAAAAGTAGAAGCAACTCAAATGTCCATCCACTGATGGATGGATAAACAAAACATGGTACAGCAATACCATAGAATGTTTTGGGTTTTTTTTGTACTGGAGATCGAACTTGGGACCTTGCGCTTGCAAGGCAGGGAGCGGAACCACTGAGCTAAATCCCCGGCCCCATAGAATGTTTTTGACAATAAAAATAAAGTACTAACACATGCCACAAAATGGATGAACCATGGAAACATCATGCTAAGTGAATGTAGCCAGATACAGAAGGCCATGTGCAGAAGGAAATATCCAAAATAGGAAATCCATAGCTCAGAACAGAACAGTGGCTGCTAGGGGCTGCACGGCGGGGAGTGTGTGTGTGTGGGGAGACTGCTGGTGGAGATGGAGTTTCTCTGGGGGGTGGTGAGGATGCTCTGACTGCGCCACTGTGTAACAGACTAAAAAGCCGTGGATCGTGTGCTTCAAAAGGATGAACTGTGTAGTATGAGGATTATATCTTAAGAAAGCTGTTATTTAAGAGAAATTAGAGAGAAAACCAAAACCAAGTGTCCCTGAAACCTGCCTTTTAAGCCATGTTCTGTGCAAGAATATGGAGGGCCGGGGATTTAGCTCAGAGGTGCCACCACCTGCCTCGCAAGCGCAAGGTCCTGAGTTCGATCCATGGTACCAAAAAAAAAAAAAAAAAGAATATGGAGCTAGGAACAGTGATTAAGCACGCTTTTCATCCTTGCTTACACGCGTGACAAAAATTAATACTAGCACTAAAATTACTCCAAAATATATAGTATCTTTTTAACCCTTTCAAAATAAGGGAAAAAAATCAAAAGCTTAAAGTCTCACCCTGACCACAGCCAGTTTCACCCTGCCCACATAAAATACCAGCATGCCAAGGCCAAGAATAACTAAGAGAGTCATGGAGGTTTCTAAGGCCAATCAGTGAAGATAGATGCTGAACATTTTAATTTCCTTTCTCCTTTGATTGAACCTTATTTGCATTCAACGGGTAATATGAGCTGTAGTCTGCCACAGGATATGAACTGTGGGTTACACTTTAGGTACGAGGCCAGGATGATAAAGGAAAAGCCGTCAAAAAGAAAGACTTAGAAGGGGCCTCAGGAGGACCTGTGCGGGCCCCACGGTAAGTTTCAGTGGTCAACATACAACTGACATTCCCATTTACCTCAGACAGGGAGTCCCGAACGCTGAATTTAAACACCCAACAATAAGCCTTCAAATTTCCAAGAGAATGAGACCACAGGAATAGAGGATGCATTTTTAAAAGGTGACTAAAGAACAACAGGATTAACTGAAGGTTAGGAGTCCCACGGCTGGCGCCTGCCTGGGGACAAGGGCCTCCCTGTGCGTGGACGACATGGCACTGACATCTCTCTGGTGCCAGCCGTCTCCAGCTTGCACAGATGGACAGATGGCCTCCAGGGCCAGAAATAGGTATTGGATAAAAGAATGAAAAAAACCTGCTAGGCTCAAATCTATGGCTGTCTTTCCTTGAAGCATTCTTGGGCCTGACCCTGCCTCCTCCACACGCCATCTCAGCTGGCCTCTTGGGGCAGTCCTCTGAGGATGACAGCTTCCGGAGCAAGGCACAGCTGGGCTGTCAACACGTAAGGTTGGCTCCTCAGCTCCTACCCGCTTCTTCTCTGTGCAAGGTAGGCACTTTCTCTAGTCCTGGGGCTGATGTCTTGCTACTTTCTAGGTGCAATTTATCAGCTCAAGCTGGAGCTCTGTTCTCAGGTGGAAGAGTAAAGTCCCAGCTAGCTGTCACGCCCGACATCTGCTCCAGGCGTATTTTGCTTCAAATGCTCCTTCTCTCCTTAGCTCTCTAGAATCCATCTTTTCTTTTCTTTTCTTTTTTTTTTTTTTTGTACCAGGGATCAAACTTGGGGCCTTGCGCTTGCGCAGCAGGCGAAACCACTGAGCTAAATCCCCGGCCCTAATGCATCTTTTCTAATTCATCCTTCCGATGTCAATTTTCACTCTCTCTGTTCCATCCTGTGTCCTTTCAGCTGGTGTTAAGCCAAACTATGTTTTGTCAAAAAAGTAAGCCCTAGAATGGCCAGAGGAATCGCCACTTCTGCAAAAAGCACACATTATAAAAAGCCTTTGAAGCCAGTCCACGACTCGTCACCGCACACCATGAGGTGGGAGTAATGAGGAGAGCAAGGAAGCAATGGGAGAAGGAGGAGACAGTTTGCTCCCAGAGCCAGCACCAGTCTCTTGGGTGCAAGAGACAGAGGAGCCCGCGCGCGTGGCTGAGGACTGTTTCCGCTGTCCGGGTGGCACGCACCTGCGCTCTCTCTGGCCGAGTCGGCCTCCCTCCCACTGACTCCACCGCGCTGGATCAGCCGCGTGCACAGGGTCCTCCCCTGATGACTGCTCAGACCTCAAACAGCACTTCCGGAGAAGCAGCCTTTAGACACGTGTGAGGCACGGAGCCCCTCGCCGCCGTGCTCCCCCCAGAGGGAGGCCACTCCCGGGCGCCTCCACCATGCTCAGGGCGGGCACGCGGGAGGCAAAGAGGAGACGCACACATGTGCCGCACGGCCCCGGCAGGAGGCACGGAGGAGGACACCTGGTGACTGGCATAACTCAGGAGCAGAAATCAGGGCCAACATAAAATTTCTGTAATGGCTCTGGTACTTTTATGTTGGGTTAGGCAATATCCTCTTGCTAAGATTGGTATCGACTCTGAGGAATATTTTATTCAGTTGTAAAGTCCCAGCTCAAGTCTTTTGTACAATTGGAGAAATAAAGCCTTTGATTATAGACTAAAATTTCCCCAGCCCTCCGAAGAGGGGTGGAGGAGGGGAGCAGGTGTGGAAGAACGTCTGATCTGTCACTCTGCAGTCAGAGTCATAAACGTGTTCAGAGTCATAAACGTGTTCGGGTGAGGCAACCTGATGTTCTGATAACGCTGACAAAAGTAACGTGAAGGTTGGTCACAGGAAGCCCAAGATAAATGCTGAGAGGAAACAGGTTCTTTTTGAAGTAGCCTCTTCATAATCATTTTCCCACACATTTGTTCTACTTCCGAAGGACCAAATACTTGATTTTGCTTTGCAAATGGAACAGCTGAAGAACAAGAAATTCAGCAATACTGTGACTGAAGTGTTTGGAGACTCCCCCAGCGAGCTCCAGGTTTAGGCGGCGGCTGCAGAGCTGTGCTGTGTTCCTGTCAGCACAAGCTAGCTGTGGTCTTCGCTTACTTGGACACCACTTTGTTTCAAAATTGGGATCAACGTGATTTACTGATAAAGATTAGGCCAGAAAATAGCAACAGTATTATTAGGACCAAAGAAGAAAGAGAGTAAGAACAAGTGATCTAGGGTCAAAACGAATGTATGGAAGGCGGCCACCAGATCTTATAGTTCTGTAAGCCAAAGCCAAATTAAAAACACCTTTTACCTGGTGCTCATCATCCCCAAGGGTGGTAAGTGGTCCCTTCATGCGGTACCACTGCTGGAGGGACCTCGTGAGGATGACAGCGGGCTCGGCAGGCAGGGGAGGGAGTCTCAGTGGTGCTGCGTGAGGAAGGTGGGGAGGAGGGACAGGAAGGCTGTTCATGACGGTGCTGATGCACGGCAGGCCCTTAATTACACTGGCTGGACCTACTCGTTCGTAGAAGTATTGCAGGTGGCACTTGAGAGAAGAAAACAGGGCAAACTCTGGAATGGCCAGAGGACCCTCTTCGCTATGTAAAAAGCAGACTTTAAGGGGCTGGGGATTTAGCTCAGTGGTTCCGCCACTTACCTGAAAAGCGCAAGGTCCCGAGTTTGATCCCCGGTACCAAAAAAAAAAACAGGAGACTTTGAAAATCTAGTCTACAAATCAAAATTTCTCAAGGTCCACTCTGAATTTCTTATGACTGCCTAGCACAGTGGTTGGTAATCAAGCTTTGTCAAAAAAATCCAAACAAACGGGGGGCCAGGGATGTAGCTCAGTGGTTCTGCTGCCTGCCTCGCAAGCGCAAGGTCCTGAGTTCGATTCCCAGTACTAGGAAAAAAAAAGCAATCAGAACATATGACTGCCAATAATCCAAGCAGAGCTACTGTTGTGGAGATTCTCTAAGTTTATGAAGAGTTTTTGAATGAGACCACGGTACCGTTACCTCTTAACTTTCAGAGGGATACAAAGTTCTTTAAGATACAAACTGAGAATTGGTTTCTCTTCTCAAAGACCTAATTAAAAGGACAACAGAACCAGGATGAAAATATTTCTGGGCTGGGCTATGGCACACACCTGAAATCCCTGGGACGCTCAGGCAGGAGGGTCACAACTTTGCATCCAGCCTGGGCAACTTAGTGACCTAATGACACTGTCTCAAAATAAGAGAAAACTTAAAAAGAACTGGGGATGTAGTGAAGGTCGTGGGTTCAATCTCCAGTGTTGCTCCCAAAACCCAAAACCCAAAAGGAGCTTGTGAGATCACACAGGCCTCTCCTGACCGTGCAGCACCAAGAGGACACGCACACAGGTCCTGCGCACACACCAGGTGGGACTCAACACAAAGGAAGCTCAGCCAAGACCACCACGGCCGCTAGGCAAAAGGGTTTTATTTCATATTTAACCATGCCACGTGTATACATACAGTACTGATATACCCAACTTAAACACATACAATTTATACATGAAGCACAATCGAAGTGTGGCTTTTGAATTAAATGAAACAACTCACTGTACGATTTGCAATTTTGGCCAGTGCACAGTAGCATAGCAGTTCCACTGAAGTTATTCATGATTTAAACCAGGACTACAGTATGAGTTCAAAGGCACTAGATGTTTTCTTCTAGTATTTTAAGAACAAAGAATAATTAAAAAGGAAAACAAATGTATGATTAAGAAACTGGGTAGACACGAGTGTGCTTAAATGTAAACTCTACCCATTCCTTAATTCACAGCCCTGGAGGAAAGAGAGGGACTTTCCATAAGAGATAAGGGGTAAGAGATTAAGAAAGACTAAAAGGAAACAAAAGACAACCCCAAACCATAATCACAATTTTTTAAAACATGCTATAGATGAAGCAGTACCACCTCCTTCTTCCAAAGCAACCTTAAATTTCTTGTTGTCCCCTTTCCCCCTTTTCTGGAAAGTAAATGAGACGGTTTGTCAAAGAGATTCTACTGTACATGTAGACGTGGAAATTCCCACCTACTTTGACAAAAATGGGGAATATTATTATTTTTAATATCCTAATTATTCCTACATAATTACAGGCTTTCTTAAAGAACATACTACATCAAGGCTCCTTTCAATAAATAAATACTACTTTTTAAATTAAAACAATACTCATCCAGTAACCTATTTATATAGATGTGCCACTGATTTTAAATCTGCACATTGATTTCAAATAATGAGCAAGTCTGTTTATCTTTCAGGAAATTTAACACTGAAGTTATAAAATATTTCATTTGTGGCTACAGACATACAGTAAATGTGAAGAAACCACAGAGCGCTCTCACTGGAGCCAAATGAATGAAGTCCTAAAGTCCATATCCCATAGCATCAAATGGGTATCCAGGCCTGGCTTGGGTGTCTACTTTGGCTATTTCATGAAATGAATATTTAATGTCCATCTGGTATAATGACTTCTAACATAAAAGCTTTTTAAAAATTTTGCTAAAGAAGGCTGCTTTGAGAATTTCTCACTCATATGTCAACCTCTGATAGAGCTCTTTTTGTTATGGTAGTGGGGTACTGGCTTACATTTCTATCGTGCTTTAATCAGGCATGGGAGCACATGGCTGTAATGTCAGCTACTCAGGAGGTTGGAGGAGGAAGATCACAAGTTCAAGGCCAGCCTGGGCAACTTAGTGAGACCCTGTCTCAAATTAAAAATAAATAAGTAAATTAAATAAAGGGCTGGGGATGCAGCTCAGGGGCAGAGCATGCATGAGGCTCTAGTTTCCATCCCCAGTGCTGGAGAACAGGGAAAAGGAAAAAATACCTACAGTGTCTTCAAAGCTCAGTTAAAAAGTTACTCTTCCCTATGAACTGAACTGTTAAAGGCTAGAAACACGGACTTTTAAAAAGAGAAGGCATTGACCTTTTTTCCCACTGCTAAAATTAAGATTTCTCAAGAGTAATTACTAACAGAGCTAAATGTGCATCACTGAAAATGTTTTACAGTTACCAAGACGGTCTGCTCACATAAGCCTTTCAAGACATATATTCAGCCGAGTCTTCACAGTACTAGAGGAAAGTTACAGATTTCTAACTATTTCACACAACAGGAAGAAAAGCTGCTGGTGAAACTCAATTCTAAGTACCCACCACACACAGGACACGCTGCGCTCCACTCTGGGAAGCACTTTAAATTCGCAGACACATTTTACTACCACCTCCCCAGTAGCCCACCTCTACTCACCTGCAGTGCTGCAAACCAACAATTCACCAAGCTTGTCAGAATATTAATTCAATAAACCCTACCTTGGGAGGTCTCAAGACCTTTAGAATTAATGTGTTTTAGGACTGATTACATAACTTTGAAACACACAAAACATAATCCTAAGTGGTTTAAGAGTAGCATAACTTTCAAAAACTAAAAATTTTATAAAGTAGCCAACAAAAGAACCAATGACTCTATTACAACTTATTATACTTTAAGAAATGAATACAAGGGCCGGGGATTTAGCTCAGTGGTTTTGCCGCCTGCTGCACAAGTGCAAGGATCCGAGTTTGATCCCCGGTACCAAAAAAAAGAAAGAAACGAATACAGTTTTTATTTTGAGAGGAGCTTTGTGGGGGGAGCCCTGGGATTGAGCCCGGGGTCCCACGTGTGCTGGACAAGCACTAGCACCACAGAGCCACACCCTCGGCCCCAGTTCCGGGAGGAATACGGCCTGACCAGATTACTCAACAGAAGAAATTTAGGGAAGAACATTTTGTTTATAAAATATGAAAACAAAGTGTTTTAAAGGCAAAAGATTAAAAGTTTTCTGTTTCTGTTTTTGCTTGGTTGCATTCTTTTGAAAATGGAGACCCTGGTCAATTGGGAGACTCCCAAAATTTAAAACTTGGACAAAGGAAAAGGTCCCTAAGTCATACTTCAAAGTGAATTTTAAAAAATATACGTATTGGGCCGGGGATTTAGCTCAGTGGTTCTGCCACCTGCCTCGCAAGCACAAGGACCCAAGTTCAATCCCCGGTACCAAAAAAAAAGGAAAAAAAAATGTATAGTCAAAGATAAGTGACCAACATGTAGTTTCTCAATTTTGTGCAACTGTGTCTCCTTCACATGTTTACAATTCAATGTTTCAAGAGAACATGAAGCCAGAAAAACAAAAATATGTGTATTTAATCTGAACTCAAAGTGACAAAAAAGAAGAGATCTAGGTGAAACACATTTTCAACTTTTGTTTTAAAAATGCATACTTGCGGGGCCGGGGATTTAGCTCAGTGGTGCCATGCCTGTCTCGAAAGCGCAAGGTCCTAAGTTTGATCCCCGGTACCAAAAAAAAAAAAGCATACTTGCAAAGACTGTTAAATTATAAAATTTTCTACAGAAATTCAGTAAGGTCAGTCATCTCGTACTTAAAATGCCACTAATGTTATTATACAAAGTAGAACATACTTAAACAGGGCAGCTGGGCTGGTGTTAGGACAGAATCGTTTCTTAGATGTGCAGCCCACACAGTCACATTTAACAGTGCATCACAGGACAATTCAATCTGCTACTCTCTATGTGCAAAACAGGACAGACTTTTTTTCTTTTTTGAAATTCGGATTATCTAAATATACAGTAGCTGGGTAAATGGCCAACAGACTGATGCATACCCCTTACACATGAATGCTCTCCCCACTTTCCAGCACAGCACAGCTGGAGAGCGGTATGACATCTGAACAATCACAGCTGCACAATTTTAACGTGCTATATTATCTTAACATGTACAGTCTAAAAGTTATTAGGCAAATTATTATTTCCAGTCTTACTCCATGATTTATAGCTTCCATTATTTGAAATTACACAGAAGTCTTCGGCGTTTTAATTGAAGATTTTGTCCAGGCATAAGAACACCACCAACTTTTATTGTGACTTTATGTTTGTAACATTCACTGAAGTAAGGAATCAATTATGGTCTCAGGCTTTGCTGAACGCTTTCTGTTTGGAGAAGACAAAAAGACAGCATGAATGCTTTCATAGAAAGACTGGGATGTCAACGCTTTACATTATGTAGTGGAAAAGACAGGGTGGCCACAGTCGGGAATGGCCCGCATTGGCTCCTGCCCACTTTCCCGAGCTGGGGGAGGTCACCTATTTGGCACCACACCTTGGTGTTCCACAACAGTGAGGGCTGGGCAGATGAGAGTTTCAAACAGGACTAAGTAGGCTGCGTGCTTACCAGACCTTAACCTCCTAGCAATCTCATGTGAGGTCTGCTAATGGTGCAGATGGACTCAATGACAATCAGGGACACAAATATAAATCATCTCCTCACAGATGCACACACGGGGACCAAGGAGAATGCTCTATTAACGTATTCCATCTACTGCTGTTTTGCCCAGCACACTGAACTGGTCTCTAGTGAGGTGTATCATGTCGAGCATATCATGTAATTAATAGAACGTCACCAATAAGCCACTGGACACACGTGCCTATGTGCACGGCCATCTCGGATTCTCACCACGCAGCACACTAATTCTGATACACACAGATGCTAAGTTTGGCTCACACGTTAGCTCACATTTTTTAAGGTTAAATTTTTTCAAGGTACATAATTTTACAATGAGATTTACAGAAGTCATAGCATTTGTTATAGGTCTACACAGTAAGAAAAAGACAAGGAACTAAAATGTGAGAAATATCACGTAAATAATATGTATTTTTAGCTTTTTCTTAGAAAAAGAAAATTTAGAAACAGTGGGCCTTCGATTCCCACAACTAAATGGGAACAGAATAGCAGCCACCCAACTGGACAGAACTGTGCCTCAGTCTGTCCCAGTCTGCTCCACTGCCTATTTTTCTCCTACACTAGGGCCAACTGTCTTGGCATTCACCGTCACATTTACATTGTCAGTTTGCTTACCGAGAGGAAAATGACTCTATTAAAAGTGGAAAGCAAACGATCTATAAGAGCCAGGTGTGGTGGCACACCCTGTAATCCCAGCACTTGGAGGCTAAGGCAGGAGGACTGCCACAAGTTCAAGGCCAGCCTGGCAACATAGTGAGTTCAAGGCCAGCTTGAACTACATAGCAAGACCCTGTCTCAAAAAAGCAAAACACAAAACAAACAAACAAACAAACATCTTATAAACCTTGTGTTTCTTGTAAATGAAATGCTTGACTCCTTAGTATAAAAGTTTTTAAACCCCTCATCTAAATTCCAAAGAATACAAAAATTTGTGCACTTCTAACATACAACTGATTTCTCCCAACCTTAGGTTCAACCAGCCCAAATTTGTAAGTATTAGGTTATGTCTGAGAGCATGAGATTCTGTAACACAAAAACCTAAAATTATAGTTTCACCCTATATGTCACTCAAAAGTGTGGACCTGGCTGGGGATTTAGCTCAGTGGTGCTGGCGCCTGCCTCGCAAGTGCAAGGTCCCGAGTTTGATCCCCAGTACTAAAAAAAGAAAAAAAAAACCCCACAACCAAATAGGGGGGAAAAGCTTATATTTTACAATTTTAGGAGGTACAAAATTATGCAATCATCTAGATAAGCTGCTAGCCCAGGTGCCCACATCCCCATGTCCCTGGGCTTAGATGACTATCCCGGTTCACGACCCAGTCAGAACCCGTGTCCACAGCAGGCACCTTCAGTGGTGAGAAAACATATCTCTGATCAGTGACTCAGGAAATCAAGGTTCATGGGGGCAGTGTTTACGACAGAAAAATGGACCAGCTGAGTACACTACTTTGAAAGTCCAACTGAATAAATTATTTAGCATTTTACTAGAAGAATTAGTACAAGAATTAAGAAATTAAAGATAGTAGGGGATCTATTACACATTTCGAAAGAAAAAACTGAATTTAAAACAAATTCTATTACTCATGAAACAAATAAAGAAGTGAAAAGACCTTAATTGTGTAGCCAGAGTTCATTTACTCAAACTGTAACTACATAAGGAATTTTACTTTTACTATATTAGCCAAAATATTTATAATGCTAACTAACTTTTAATTTCCTTTGACTGTGTCTAGTTAGCACGTTTCCTTGCCAACATGTCACGGGTCCCAAGGACGGTCCTTACCTTCTCCCCGTCTTTGGCCTCGCTTTCCCCTTTGAAGTCCGAGGCCTTTCCAATTTCATCAAAGACTGGCGCAGACTCTCCTCGGTGTAGGCGAGATACACATGGGAAAGGTCTACTTCAGAGGGCTACGGGAAAGGAACAAAGGATGCTCTCACAGGAAAGAGCTAAACCACTCTTTAAAGTGGTTTAAAGGGGGAGATTTCAAACACCTAGAAAATGCCACAGAAGACACAACCAACTAATGTCTAAAGACACCTTCTAATTCTAGTAGCTAAAATGTATCCCCCACAAAATGGTACACTATACATTTCCTCAAACACAGGGAAAAATCACTGCTGTTTTCCCTAAAGCTAGTCCCTCTTCTTGCTGACCGAGGACTAGAAACAGCTTTGAGAAGGAAGAGGACACATTCTATTCCCTCACCACATTCAGACGGCCCAGAGAGCTGTGAAAAGAAGACTCCAAAGTGACTCCACTATGGTGTCAGAAATGTTAAGTCTGCCATCGTGACTGAGCAGGACATCAGGCAGAACTATCCTAATCACCTGATCCAAGAGCCCTTATTCCCAAAACACAAGCCTGCTGTTCACCAGAGCTGGTTAACAGATACCAGGTTCATAACACAATTTAATGACCCACATTCCTATAAAGAAACAAGTGTAGTTTTGGAAAAAAAAAAAAAGTACTCTTACATCTTTCTCCTTTTTATCAGGTACTGGGGTTTGCTTCCTCATGTTATTTCCTGTGTAGGCAACACATTTCTCAAAAAAGAAAAGGGGGGAGGGGAAGAAATGTCTTAATTAGTAATTAGTGCTGTGAATTAGGCAAAGCGCTGTGAGGTATTCTGATGCTTCATTAGTAAAACATGACTGAAATGCCAGAGGAGAAAGGGACCCAGAGGGCATTCAGTCCCACGAAGCCCTGACCTAGACCATTTCTAAGACACGATTTCTGTGTTACCATTATTAGAAAGACATCTTATGGGTGAAACTCTTAGAGCTTTCAATGGCGCAAACAGCCAGCTGTGGTACTCGTGCCATAGGGTTGCCAGCCCTCTCATCTCTATTAAATTCTCACCTGATGCAGACTCTGCACCACCTCCCCCGGCAGCCAGCACAGCTCCTAGTCCACGTGAGGCACTGCACAAGTACCCCAGGAGAGGATAAAGGTAGTACTCACTAGCTGCCATTCTCCTATGTCTTCATTCCAGTGCACATAGTTTTCAATCATCTCCTTTTAAAAGAGCCAAAGATAGACTGTTTTTAACATTTAATAATAATATTTAAAGTATCAAAATATCCATATAACTAAACTTTAATGTTACATGGAAAAAGTTACATCTCGAAACACTGTGTACTGCATGATACCCTTTCTGGTGTAGATCTAAAATGTCCCTGCAAATTCTCATGTGTGTAAAAGGTGATTAGAACAGGGGGTGCTACACTTGCAGTGGATTCTTCCACTGATGAGCTCAGTAGCTAAATGTGCTGTTAGGAGGGACTTGGCTGGGTCATGACCTGAAAGGGCACATTCTTGTCCCCAGCTCCTCCCTTCTGTGTTTCATGGCTGCCATCAGTTGAGCACCTTTTCCTTTGCAATGCCTCTCTGTCATCCTGTTTCTGTCTTGGAGTCTGCCAACCAGGAACTGAAACCATAAGCAAAAATACACCTCTCCTATTTTAAGTTGCAGGTGTCAGGTACTGCGTTTCAGTGACAGGAATGTGACAAGAAAAGATGCTGCAATGAGGAGTAGGATCATTGGTATGACTGTACCTGACTGACTAGGTGGTTCAGAAGTCTTTGGAAGTGGTTCATGTGAGAAGTTTGGAAAGGCTTAGTGATGCCAGCTTGAGAAGCCCTAGAGAATGATGCAAGCTGAGCTTAATGGAAGATTCTGGTCAGAGCTCAGAGGAAGAAAATGCTAACAGAAATATGGACACTAAAGGCCAGGCTCAGGAGGTTTCAGTTGGGAACAAGAATTCCATTAGCAGTTAGACTAGAGGACATGTGTGGTACACTCTGGAAGAAAATTTGTCTACATTTTGTCTATATCCTGAGATTTTGCAGGAGAAAGAGGATAAGGGTGGTTGACTAATTAATGTGGCAGAGGAAATTTTAAACAACACAACATTCAGGCTATGGCATGGGTACTGTGGGCTGCTTTTTGTCAGATGTATAGTGAGAATCAGGAAGAAATCAGCAAAGCTCAATGATGTGCAAAGTTTCCAGTATGGCCAGAAAGGAAGTGCTCGCAAAGTTGGGGCAAAGGAGAGCATGGTTAATGAACGATTAGCATAAAAAAGAAGCCAAGTATTTTACGTCAGGATAAGAGAAAAGATGACTTAAGGGCATCTGAGGAATCAGCAAGACCCTCACCCTTCGCAGGCTAAAGGGTGCCCAAACTATAAAGTTTTTATTTAAAAAGAAAGCCCCTACGTTCCTGCTTAAGAAGGGCTTCCTAATGAACTGATTTCCCAGGATTCATTTCATAGTGCTAAACCATCTAGGCACTCAGAGGCCTCTGAAGCCATAATCCAAGGGGGCCTGGCTACTGCTCGAGCTGGCAGCAGACCTTAGTATCATCATCTACATGGTGCTAGTTTTCAGACATGGAGAATGCAAGAGTTATGAGGTCTGGGTAGCTTCTACCCAAATTCTGGAGGAAGTATGCCTCTGAGAGGGCTGTGCGTGCAGTGAGAGTAAAGGTCAAAGTGCAGTGGGGACCCCAAGATGTCAGAGATGTTAGAAACGTGGAATCTCTATGGGCCAGGGATTTGGCTCAGTGGTTCTGCCGCCTGCCTGGAAAGCAGAAGGTCCTGAGTTTGATCCTTAGCACCAAAAAAAAAACCCACAAAAAAACGTGGAACCTCTGCTGAGAAAGTCATAGGCAGGGACAGGAGCCAGCCCAAAAGAGGCTGTGACCAGCAAAACTGTAAAGGCAGGGGACCCAAGCCCTTTGGAGCTCACATCTCCCTACAACTTGCCCCAAGGGCTGGACATGGAATTATAGGATTTAATGTTTGCCCTGCTGGGTTTGCTTTGGTCACATTCCTTTCTATCCTCCTACTTCTCCCTTTTGGAACGGAAATGTTTACCCTACGGGATTTTATGTTGAAGTATTTAACTTTCTTCTTGATTTTTACAGGGGCTCAGAGATAAAAGAGTATGTTGAGTCTCAGAAGCGCTTTGGACTTAGACATTTTAGCCATACTGGAACTGTTAAGACTTTAAGGACTCTTAAAAATGGACTAAATGCATTTTTCATAATTAGATGGACACAAGCATTTGGGGGCCCAGGGGAAGAATATTATGGTTTAGATCTAAAATATTCCCCCAAATTCTTCAGTGTAAAAGGTGATTGGAACATGTGAGCCCTATGTACTGAACGTGCTGTTAGGAGGTAGGGACTTTTCAGAGGTGCTTCCAGGCTGCCATAGGTGAGCATTTTCTTCCACCAGGTCACCTGCCATCCTTTCCACCTCTTAGCCAGCTAATCGTGAACTATAACCATGAGTCAAAATCACCCTTTCTTCTTTTAAGTCATGGGTGTCCAGTATTGTGGCTCAGGGACATGAAAGTGACTGACACCTTTTTTTTTTTTTTTTTTGGTACTGGGGATTGATCTCAGGATCTTGTGCTTTTAAGGCAGGTGGCAGAACCATTGAGCTAAATCCCCGGCCCCTGACATCCTTTTTATAAATTTTAAAATACATATTTCTTGGGAATACATATAGATAACATTAAACTATAATAAAAATAAAAAGCAATAGAATGATAATACGGGAATAGAATAATGAGTACTCTGGGGTGGAAGAGGCAAAGGGATGGAAGAGGGTGGGGAGACATTTAGCTATGCGTAGGTTACTGTCAAGGTCTTAGCTTTTGTTCTGGGAGACAGGTTCACAACAAAATAACTAGAGAAGAGCAGGCCCACCAAGGACCAATAATGAGTGTGTCATGAATCCAGATTAATTCTGTACATCTGAGGTCCAAAGGAAAAAAAAATACTTAGGCTTATTTTCAGACAAATTTCTTCAAGCTGTATTGAGATTCAAAACAGATTTTTTACAACATCAAAATGTTAAGAGTTTTTATTTTGCTTTCACTGCTGGAAGTGAAATATGTTAAAAAATTTTAAATTTACTTGACATAAATTCTGGCTAAGAAAAAGAGGACAAAACTTAAAAATTATACTAGTATTAACAAGCACCATCCATATGGAGATGAATGGTAGACGGCTGCACAACAATGTAAGGTGGTTAATGTTACTCAACTGTATACTTAAGAATGGTTAAAAAAAATTTATGATGGGCCGGGGATGTAGCTCAGTGGCACCACACCTGCCTTGCAAGGGCAAGATCCTGAGTTTGATCCCCAGTACCGAAAAAGAAAAAAAAAATTCATGCTATGTATATTTTATCACACACACACTCAGAATTAGCACCCATAAGCAAGGAGAAATAGCCCAGAAGTTCTGTTTATTCTATGTATATGATAAAAAATGTTGAATCAATGAAGAGGCAAGTACTTTGGTTCTGACCGCATTTACCCAAACCTGAGTTACTCCAAAGGAGTGAGAAATTCTTAGGTACTCAAGAAGATAAGTACATATTGAGGAGAGTTAACTAAAGTGAGATATGATGGTATATTCAAGAAAATTATGTAGATGATAACTGAAGTGTAAATAATTATCAATTAAATCAGAAATTATATTTCTATGTTCCTTAACCCCAGCCAAGTGAACTGATATCTAGGTCAGAGAACTTCCCATGTACCTGATAATCCTGAGGTATAAAGTTATCTATAATAAGCATCTGAAGTCGAAGTTCCCGGCTAAGCTGCCGAATGTTCTCCAATAGGCCTTCAATTTCCCTCTGATGCTCTTGTTGGAGATCGGCCGTCTACCGGAAAAGCCATGAACATTTCATAAGCAAACGAGATTTTAAGTACAAAACAGTTAACAGCTGACATACAGTGCTAGTCTAAGAGGACTTCTGAGAGCTTACCCAGTTTTTTTACAAAAATAATGAATGGACAGAGTAACACTATCACTGTCCATTTCAGGTTATTAGTTACGGTTAGAAAAACCTAGCTTAATAGCTAAAATTAAAAATTGTACATAAAGGAGAAATACATGTTTAAAATTGTAAGCACACATTAAGATTACTTAGGAATTCTTAATCTTAATCAAAGGAACCTATTTTAAAAATCCAGAAATACATTAGAAGGTAATTTCAAAGAAACTAACCTCTGACTTTGCAGCCATCAACATAGTCCAAACCTTTTTTAGTTTCTTGGTCTTTCCTTGGGCTTCCTCTTGTAAACTGGTATATTTTTCTTCAATATCCAAGCGTTCTTGCTGTGATAAAATTGGCAAACTTCAGAATAGTTTTCGTTGCTGATCATCGATTTAATATTTAACAAATGACATACGTTTGGCAACTACTGTCCTCAAAATAATCTATAAGTCTGGCTTAAAATCTCATTAAGATTATCAATATTTAGCTTTCTGCTGGAAAAGTTAAAAATCTCTGGCAAAGTATTAAAACTAAAAGTCACGAAGTCACATCACCTCTTTTTCCTCAAGTTCTCTGCGAAGTTGCTCAGCTCTTTTTCTCCTTTCTTCTAGTTCCATATTAGATTCTTCAAGAAGTTTCTCTTGTTCCTCAGCTTTGGCCAGCAAATCAACACCACCAACAATTACCTTCTTCTCCAGAGCAGACAATTTTTCCAGCAAAGACTGATGCTCTTGTCTATTGATTAAAACGAGAATACCCTAAATGTATCAATCATCTACTGTTCTAACATTTCCCCAAATTTATTAAGAAATTGTATAATTTCAAAAGAGAATTATGTAACACCTCTACCAAACTGCATCACTTTGTAGTATGAATCAATTCATAATTTAATCTATAATTCAAATTCACTAATACATTTTCCTCCTACACAGAGATAATCAAGAGATCTAATTTTTAGAAACATATCACATGTGTGGGATCTTCCACCCCAAACAGCTATAATACAGACAAAAATCAGGCTTTTAACTACTATTCAATTTTCCTGCTTATATATCCTATTAAAAATAATGAAGTTCAATCACAAGTCCATCTCAGTTCAATAATACTCACTGGGCTTTTAAAAGATCTTTTTCCCGTTTCTCTAATTCAGCTCTAGCCTTGTTTCTTTCTTCTTCTTCCATATCAAGCTTTGTTTCAAGTGCTTTTCTCTCCTCATCAATTTTTGCTTGCATTTCAACCATCTTATCTGGAGAAACTTTCTTTTTACCTATTTGAGTCATTTAATTATAATAATTACCAAAACAAGTCACTGTTTCAAATTATCTTCAACAAAGAACTGCCATGAGTCCTCAATAATAGAAATAACCTCGGTAAATTTGTTAATTCATTGCTACATTCAAATTGTTGTCTCCAACTGTACAATGACATCTAAGAACCAAAAAAGGTAAGTGAAAGAGAAGCAAAATAAATGAGCAAATAAATAGGAAAAGAAAGATTAATATTAAAGCCAATAAAAAAGATGTCTTTTTTCCAAATAACATAATTTTTGAAAAAGTAAAATGATTCTTCAGTTACTTTTTCCTGATAATTAAGTATAAAATCAAGTGGCTTCTCAAAATTCCTTCATCCCAATCACATTAAATAAATGAACAGATCATATATAGGTATAAAATACAGATTAAAATATCACACAGAATTTATATGAGGTAGTTTAATTTGTTTTCAGAGGGCTTTCTATAATTTTTTACTATAAAAAATTACTAGAAAAACTACTACAGGGCCGGGGATTCAGCTCAGTGGTTCCACCCCCTGCCTCGCAAGCGCAAGGTCCCAAGTTCGATCCCTGGTACCAAAAAAGAAAAACTACTATATAAAATTACTAGAAAGTATTTTCAGGTAGGGTATACTTTCTTGTTTTTGTTTTTTTTGAGACAGGATCTCACTATGTGGTTCAGGCTGGCCTCAAACTCACAATGATCCTCCTGCCTTAGCCTCCTGAGTGCTGGGATTACAGGTGTGCGCCACCACGCCTGGCTGTCAGAGTATATTCTTTTTTTTTTTTTTTGGTACCAGGGATCAAACTCGGGTCCTTGCGCTTGCGAGGCAGGCAGCGGAACCACTGAGCTAAATCCCCAACCCATGTCATAGTATACTTTTCTTAGTTTTGGGGGGTTTTTTTTGGTACCGGGGATCGAGCTTCGGCCCTTGCGCTTGCTCAGCAGGAGGCAAAACCACTGAGCTAAACCCCCAATCCCTATCATAGTATACTTTTAAAGGAAGAAATTCTATACTAGTTATGTAGGTTACACAGTAATTATTTTAGGGCTGTAATTATTTTAGTAATTATTTTATTTTAGTAATAATTTTAGTAATTATTTTACTAATTATTTTAGGGTATTTTAGGGCTGATGAGCTATCATGCTATATCATCATACCCTAAGTGAGCAACTAAATAGCTTATTACTATACCAAACTCAAATCTTTAATCTCCTAACTCAGACTAAACATGCCAAATGTCAAATATAAGCAGAAAAAATAAAGCTGGAATATGGCTTCCAAAGGATTATTTTTATTTATTTGTTTTTGGTACCGGGGATTGAACTCAGGACCTTGCACTTTCGAGGCAGGCGGTGGAATCACTGAGCTAAATCCCCGGCCCACAACGGATTATTTTTATTATACTGTCTAATAGAGTGAAATGTAACAGGTACCCAATAAAAATTCATGGATGATTTCAGAATGATATTCATATAAAAAATTAAAAAGAGAAAACAAAAACTAGCTTAGTGGAATGATTGTGAAACTGAAGCAGTGATAATTCATCTCTAGAAACCCAATTTCTTAGAAACATATGTTCCTTCAGAAAACTAAACAAACTTTTCGCAGAATTGGTCTGAGGCTCTCCTGAAAGCTTTGTCATTCTTAACTTCCTTCCCAAAGGACTGGAGAAAAAGAATATAAACCAGAAGAGTTTATAAACTGTCATTGTCTCCACCCAAAATCCAGCCTCTCCTGCCAACGAGGAAAAAGAACTGAAAAATAATTATGATGGAGATAAAATACCTGAATATATTCTTTTAAGAAATGAAGAATCATTCATAGGCTTTTTAAAACTCTTTAACACAAAATTATATCAAAAAACTCAAAATACACTATCCTCCATTTCTGCAGAACTATAAATCTAGAGCAAAACCTAAGCCACAACACAAATTAAATAAAAGAGTAAACAAAAGCACTGATCCAAATTCATGCTGTGGTGTGGTGTGATTCATTGCATTCCGAAAGTCAGGACACGGACCTGGCTCTGTTGGCTTGTTTGGCACAGTCATCTGTATGGAACCTGTTGAATTACTGTTAAAAAATAACTTTTAAAAATAATTTAACTTCTATTCCCAATGAGGTCCTAGAAAATGTTTCCTATCGGCAATAATACTATTTCTTTTTTTTTTTTTTTTTGGTACCAGGAATCGAACTCAGGTCCTTGTGCTTATGCAGCAGGCGGTGAAACCACTGAGCTAAATCCCCGGCCCAATAATACTATTTCTTAGATATTTGAGGGAGAAAAGTATAAGTTTGGGTTTATTGTAAAAACCTGTAACTTCCTTTCCACTTCAGAATTACAAATACTTAAAGGAAAAGTGACTAATATGTAAAGATCAAAATAAGATGTATGAAGACATGGATACTAATGGTATGGAGGAAATGGTGTGATCAACGAATGAACCTGTACCTTTAGGCTTCTAACTGTTTTGTTAGTATTTAAAAACATAGCTGGCCAGGTGTGGTGGAGCATGCCTGTAATCCCAACACTCTGGAGGCTGAGGCAGAATGATCACCATGAGTTCTAGGTGAGCCCTGGCTACATAGCGAGACTCTGTCTCAAAAAAACAAAAAAAAACCAAGAAACCTCCAAAAAACATAGCTCAAAACCCATTAAGAGGCAGTAAAATTAAAAAAGATGTAAAAATATAAAAATTCCTGACTCTTGATGAATTAATACTATACCTAAATTATATTAGTAATCCAAAGTCATTCAGGTAATTTTTTCAAACTGATGCTTTGGCAGCAAAAATCTTATTGTGCTCTTCTAACATTCATGAAAATTAGCAAGAATACATAGCTACAGTTACTTTTTTTTTTTTTTTTTTGAGACAGGATCTCACTACGTAGTTCAGGCTGGTCTTGAGCTCAACTATGTAGTCCAGGCTGGCCTCGAACTCACAGTGATTCTCCTGCCTCAGCTTCCCGTGTGCTGAGATTACAGGCATGTACCACCATGCCTGGCTAACTTTGAAGTCTAGTTAAGTAAAATGTTACTCTAGCAAGAATCACTCTGAAAAATCATTATATTTCTTCAAATAACACTTTAAGCTAAATATGAGTATGTGCCAATATCCTAACAAGATATTTCAGAACAAAGCATCACTAGAAGTCAGTTTTATATGTATTTTAAATGAATTTTTTTACCCTTTGTTTTGTTGGATAGAACCCTTTGTCTCCAGGAGGCTGGCTTTGGAAATAGCAGGGCTGCTTTAAGTCTGGGGGAGACTGGGAACCCAGGAAGAAGGAGCCTGCACTACAGGAGCACCAAGGTAAGCTGATGTCTCTGACCCTCCGATGGGAGAAGAGACTATATGTTATGTTAGTTACTTTCATTAGCTGGGTACCGGAGCTGTGGCTCAGGGACAGAGAACCTGCCCAGCCTGCACAGCCCTTGATCTGTGCTTACCACCACCACCGTAATGACAAAACTCTTCATCAACCAAATCAGTCTATCAAAAAAATCTTTCTAATACTGCATGGTAAAATTCAGTAGAAAACTTCAGGTAAATAAATCTAAAAGCAAAACAGCTAATGCCATAAAGAATATGCGATTATGCCAAACAGAACTTGCAACATTTTAAGTTGCCTCTGCCATGTGCTCTAAACAAAACTGTGAAGAAGAACAAGCAAGGAAAAGCAAGAAGGAGCAACTTCAGAGAGGGCTAACTGAATTAATTTCATTTTTATCTCAGAGCACTCATAAGCACAGGTGACAAGAACTTGATTGTTGGCTTTAAAAAGGGAAAAATGTTTGAATATGAAGTCATAACTTTACTTCCAAAACTTGGCTTAATGGGTCTTTAAGAATTTAGGGCAAAAAGGAAGCTTTTTTTTTTTTAAAAAAAAAAAAGCGAAAATTGAGAGATTTTTAAAATATAAAAGATGGATACTTACCTTGTAAAAAGTTGTTTAGTTTTAAAAATGCAATGTATTTAAAAGACAAAGTTCTTTATAAGTTAAATAACTGTACCAAGTGGAGTGCAAATCAATCACACCAACCTGCTTGATCTTGCAATAAGAAGTGGTAAGCAAATCGTAGACAGGAAGCATATGCACAGAGATGAGGAGGAAAAAAAGGAAAACATTATTTTCTTTGTAAAACAAAGAAAAATGTATAATAGCATTCATTTTTAGTATAAGTGTAGAAACCATTATCACAACTAAAATAGAGCTCATGTAAAAAGAAAACACATTCAGTACTACGAGAGATCTAACTCAGACAAGGATAGTAAGGTTGAGTCTACAACTCCAATCTGTACCAAGAGCTTACACTGCCTGGAAAACTCCTGTAAGTGTAACAGTTCAGCACCACGTGGCTATGCTAATGGTAAACATGGGACTGGGGGCCTGCTAAGACCTAGGAAATCATCTAAAAGGACAAAACAGAAAATTATTAGACAATTTTAAAAATCAGTAAGTTAAGAGTAACAAAAGTAACATTGTAACAAAATTTCCCAATTCAATGTTTCTTCTAGTATCCATAACAGGTGTGCCCCATTTTAAGAAAATCTAACACAAAAATCTGAACCAACTAAAGTGATAAATTAGTTTACAATAATTTGCACTGATAATCTGATTAACAAACAGATGGTTTTTTTGGTACTGGGACACGAACTCGGGACCTTGCACTTGCCAGGCAGGCACGGCACCACTGAGCTAAACCCCCAGCCCTTAACAAATTTAATGAAGAATGTTTAAAAAGACAGCAATTTCACAGCATACTTGATTTTCCAAATTGAGTTCGAAGCATTTTTTTAAGAAAAAAATCATTACATAAAATGAAGCATACCTGTATAGTAGCAAACTTGCACTTAGCCTATTAGGAGACTGTTAAGGGTAATCATAATGATGATTCTACAGAAGTGAATGACAACTGATGATTCAAGCAAGGGACACCTCAAAAAAGGCCATTCATGTTTTTTAAAGGAAGGATACAAACACACCAATTACACAAGCAACCACATGCTGGGACATCTCTCCATTTCACCAATACACCTAAGTTACAACAAAATATTATGAGCTACGTGTGTAAACAGCAATTAAAAATGCTTGAGTTGAAGAAAGTACAACTCACTTCATAATGTACTTTTTCACACCACTAAGAACTAAGGTAAGCTGTAAAACAGAAAACTAAACTTTATTGCTTCTCCCTCAGGTATTTCAGTTTCTAATACAAAATTTTACCTCTATACAGTCTCTAAAGGAACTTTATGTGTTTTACAAATTGTACTCTGAAATGAATTTTTTTTGTTTCTTGTTTGTTTTTTTGAGACAGGATCTCACTACGTAGTTCAACCTGGACTTGAACTCACTATGTAGCCCAGGCTGGCCTCAAGCTCATGGTGATCCTCCTGCCTCAGCCTCCAGAGTGCTGGAATTACAAATGTGTCCCACCACACCCAACACTCTGAAATTGATTGTTTTGGTAATTTGCTTAAAAATTATCAATAGACCAAAACAGTTTTCATATTCTTGGAATTCTTCCTCTAGAAAGTTAAAAACATAAGAACAATAAACAATTATTTTTGTTATTAGTTTTGAAGAGTAAGTACTGTATGTAGATAATGCTTTAAAAGACAGTAAGCTGCAAGCTGGTACAAGAAAGTAAGACCTCCCCTTTCTTCTAAAAATAAAATATACTAGATAAAATTAAATAATACTTTTCACTTAAATTAAGAAATTTAAGAAAAAGGCCTTTAAGTTTGAAGTCTAGATAGATCCGGCATCAAATTTTTTTTTTTGGTACCTGGGATCGAACTCAGGACCTTGCACTTGCCAGGCAGGTGAGGTGCCACTGAGCTAAATCCCCAGCCCAGAATCAATTTTTTCATGTGATTCTGAATTCCCGAGAATTGACCTTAGAAAATTTCTTAAAATCAGGTAATTTAGAAGTGGGGATAAATGTCCATTTGAAATAAAGTACTACTCAATTTATCTTTACTTATTTTAGACTTTACATTTTTCTTTGAGAGCCTTCAATCTTAAGCTACTGCTGACAATGGGACATATCAAAGCATACAATGTTTACAACTCCATGACATGTTATAATGGGTATGGTGTACTGCCAAATACAACCTGCACTTTTAGAAATTCAGAATTTGTTGATACATATCTCTTGTACTGACCAGGATTAAAATTTTATAATGAAACATAAAAAAGGACCCTAAGAATTGTTCCTTTACACAGCTTACTAGCTCTCTTTACATTATCTCAACTGTGAAAGCATGAATCTCTCTTCCATTGTCTCAAACATACGTTTTAACAATCATGGATAACAGGAAGCAATGAAAGGGGTGGGGATCATCACATGCTTTGCTCTATTCAGAAGTCCAACATGTATATGTATTCTTCAAGTAATGACAGGGAGCGGTGCAGCATTTCTCAAAGGAAGCCCATGGGTTATGGAAAAGCCAAAGCTCTGTTAGAGAATTTACGAGCTGCCACTCACTAGGCAAGAGCTTATCCAGAGGTTTCTCTATGACAGAACAGGTGGAGTCTGAACTACTGCTGCTGCTACTGCCTAGGAGACAAAGAAATGAGCCCAACGGGAACCAAACAAAGAGGAAACAAGAAAATGAACACACATAGAAAAAACTTTAGTTACAGAGAAAGAATTTTAAAGGACAATCAAGTTTTGTATTAAAGAACCAAAACTTACTTTCCCTTAAAACCAGTCTTGGTAGTAGCCTAGCCAGTATTTTCTACTTCACAAAGCCATAAGGGGGAAGTACAAACTATATTTCTTTAAAGATTTACTGTGATCAAATCCCATTACTCATCTAAAACAATCATTCAGAGGATGGAAAGGATGATATTAAAAAGAAACAAATCATTTGGTGACATTTAAATTTATTTAAACTATTTAGGTTGATAACTTAAAGGAACAAAGTTTTAAAACTTAGTTTAAAACACAGAGTGTTCCTGGAATGATAAATTACTCTTCATTACAGACAGGATGGTCGGTCTGTCTCCAATTTCCCTTTCTCCCTTCAAAACATCAAACTTTCAAATATAATTACGTATGTTTAAAGTTTGACAGCAAAACTGAAAAGGCTCACTGAAAAAATTTTAATTTCTAGCCTAGAAGGAAGGTATGGTACTATTAAATATTTTAATATATTAAACTGTGGTATTTTTCTACTTACAATTTTATTTATTTATTTATTTTGGTACCCGGGATTGAAGAAATTTTTTTTTGGTACCGGGATGGAACTCAGGACCTTGCACTTGCAAGGCAGGTGGGGTGCTGCTGAGCTAAATCCTTGTCTCAGATTGAATAAAATTTTATTTTTAATGAACCTATTATGTGCTTTGGCTTGGAAAAGAATGGTTTACTCTCAAAAACTAGGTGTGAAACTTTTCTCTAAGTCAGGAGTTGAGAAATATTTCAAAAACAACCCCCAGATACTGTAAATACCTTAGGCTTTGCAGACCACATGCTTTCATGTGAAAGCAGCCATAGACCGTACGTAAACAGATGACCATGACTACTTTAATAAAACTGTACTAATCAAAACAGATAGGGGTTGTATTTTGTCAGCTCTTACTCTAAGTCATGCTTTTCCTGTCTTTTGAGTTTATATAATTTTGGAATTCCGGATCAAGCAGTGATGGGTTTATTTTCAACAAGATCATTTAAATAAAACAAGCGAAATATGTACCAGCTTGAAAACAATGGGTCACATTAATGGAAGAGAGTTCTGAAATAAATATTAGGGTCAGAAGTTTGAAATGTAGGCCATTATAATATGTCTGTCTCTTTTGCACGTTACCTATATCCTTAGCATAATAGTCTTACTTTTTTGTTTGTTTGTTTTGGTTCTTTGAGGCAGGCTTTCACTGCATAGTTCAGGCTGGCCCTAAACTTACTATGTAGCCCAGTCTGGCCTCGAACTCGCAGCAATCCTCCTGCCTCAGCCTTCTGAGTGCTAGGATTACAGGTGTGTGCCACCACACCTGGTACTTATTCTTAATAATATATACATTGCAACAGAGTAAGGATGAGACATTTTATAAAGAAAAATAATTTTTAAATCCTCACATAAATTTGTTATTTAAAATTTCAAAGACTTCTAAAAAATTAACCTTGCTTGAGGAAAACCTCTACATTATCCTAATTTCCTAAAAATGTAGGTTTTTAACTCAAATGGAAGTCCCTACATAAAACTAAAATCCTAAGTAAATTTCAAAATGGTACACCCACTATCATAGGTTTTTACGACCCTAAAAGAAAGGCCAGATAGTATTCTGAGCCAGCTATAAAGGGCAGGTCAGAACGAGAGACAACTGCACAGCTGACCAGGCACCTGGCACACACCCTCCTAACTGATATGGTAACTGAAAATGGCAAAATAAAAGGTGTGTACTCTACTATGAAAGCATCATGAGGTAGCAATCCTTGTTAGCTTCTACCAATCAAACCCTGAGTAGTACTTACCCCTTCTCTTTTTCCTTTTCTCTCCATCTTCTCCAACCTCACCCTCTTCATCGTCATCTTCCTCCGACCCACTGATATCAGAGCCTGATATTTCTTCCCCTAGGAAATGTAACGCAATGATTTTTAGTCTAAACCATTGCCATTGGCTATTTAGGAAATGCTTATATTGATTTTCTTCACTAAGTCGCGCTTGTCCCAAATACAAACTTAAATGCTATTTAACTGCTCCTAAAAATATATCAGGTATGCTAATCTAAATAATTAAGATATACACAGAGACTTTACTTTTTTATTTTTTTGGTACTGGGGATCAAATTTGGGACCTTGCACTTGCGAGGCAGGCAGAAGAACCACTGAGTTAAATCCCCGGTCAGAGACTTTATTTTTAAAGTTTCAAAACAGAAATTGGACTGTGACCCAATTAAAATTTCAAACCATTATTTAAGTACAGATATAAATATGTATAAAGATCATGAGTTAGGGTAATTAATTCAGTCTTTTAAAAATGCAATCACTTTGAGGGAGCATTTTATTTTTATTTTTCTCTTTTTAAGATTCTGGGCTGGGGATTTAGCTCAGTGGCACTGCGCCTGCCTCACAAGTGCAAGGCCCTGAGTTTGATCTCCCAGTACCAAAAAAAAAGATTTAAAATAATTCATTCAATCAGTGGGTTTTTTGGGGGTTTTTTGGTACGGGGATCCAACTCGGGTCCTTGAGCTTGCGGGGCAGGCGGCGAAACCACTGAGCTAAATCCCCGGCCCTCAGTCAGTGTTTTGTTTTGTTTTTTTGGTACTGGGGATCCAACTCGGGTCCTTGCGCTTTAGAGGCAGGTGGGAGAACCACTGAGCTAAATCCTTGGCCCCACAATCAGTATTTTTTTAGAGTCATAAAACTGTCACCTAATACGGTGATCTCATTTTTAGGACTGTATTACAGAAATATTTCAAAAGCTGAGCTTATTTGTATAAAGACTGTTAAATATGTATTGGCAAGACAAAAAACATCCAATAAAAATTATTAAACTAATGTTAATACAGATTATTGCTATATTAACTTCAAATTAGTCATTTAAAAATATCACTATCCACAAATGAAATGTTTAAGAAAACAAAAGTAACTGGGGAGGTGGGATAAAATACACACAAATCACAACCAGGTAACAGTTGTTCCTATAAGTAAAGATGGAAAGAGAAGAGAGTCTTTGGCAAATAAATTACTAAAAGTATTTTGTTCTTTGGGCTTAGGAATAGTGGTGGCTTGGCAGCAACGAGCAAACACTCCTAGCACCCAAGCCTTAGTTTCTAAATACATTCTCCAGTGAAAGAGACCAGGGAGAAACAGATGATTCGAAGGTCTTGACAGGGAAGATACAAGATAAGCTTAAAACATCTTGTAGTGGGCTGGGGATTTAACTCAGTGGCACCGCGCCTGCCTTGCAAGCACAGTCACGAGTTCAATTCCCGGTATAAAAAAAAAAAAAAAAAAAAAAATCTTGTAGTCCCAGAAAGAAGCGAAGTGCTTAAAAATAACCTGATGGGAACATGCTGAAAGAATGGCAGCATGCTGAAGGAGCACCCAATAGCTCAAACTGAGACAATCTGAGAGACAAAATAAATAATGATAGTATTGGATTATAACCCATGGGCTAAATACTTGATGAAATAAATAAATGAAGGAGAAAAGACTCTTCTTCTTTAAAATAGAATTCCAAACACCAAGCACCAAAGGAATGGTGAGATAGAAAAGTTGTTTCAGAGGAAATGCTACAGAATTATTGTTAAAGGCAAGAACCATTGACGGAAGCTAATCAGTAGGAGATAGTACAACGAGAAATAACCTTTGCAGTCTCAAACTATTGCCCCACAAACATACTGATTACAAACAAACAAACAAATAATACAGCGGAGAAGCCTAATCAAATAACTGTGAAAAAACTGTAGACAAAGGAATGTTCTACATAATACAGGACAAGTACTCTTCAAAAGTACAGAGTCTTGGAAGACAGAGACTGACTGAGGAGACTGAGATGTGACATACAAATCTAATGTGTGGTCCTACACTGGATCATAGACTTAAAAAAAAAAGTCGGAAGGAAAACAGGCAAAGTGTGAATAAAGTCTGTAGATTAGTTAATAAGTTCAATAACAGAACTGTGGTTATGTAAGTTTTATACTAGGAGTAACTGGGTGAGGGGTAGATAGTAACTCTCTGTACTATATATTCTATAATCCTAAAATAATTTTAAAATTAAAAGGTTATAAAATTGTTTTAATGCTTTTGCCTGCTTTTTATTGTTTATGTGATCAACCTAAATGAGATTATAAAAATCAGAGCACAGAGTCACAAGAAACAAATAAAATGAAATATGTTAAAAAATACTACTGCCAGCAATTCTACTTCTGGTACATTCTTCAATTTTAATGCAAGACCTGGGACAGGTGTTTGTATACCCATGTATGCAGCAGCATTATTCACACAACTCCAAAAGTAGAAGCAATTCAATTATCTGTGACAGATGAATGGATAAACCAAATATAGGATACACATACAGTGGAATATTTTCAGCCTTAAAAAAGAAGGAAATTCTAACATGCTACAATATGCATGAATCTTGAAAGAATTATACTATGTGAACAAGCCATACAGAAAGGACGAATACTGTATGACTTTACTTATACGAGGTACCTTGAGGGGTCAAGTTCACAGATATAGAAAGTGACTAGTGGTTACCAGGGACTAGGGTGAGAAAGAAACAGGGAACTAGTATTTGATAGGGACAGAGTTTCTGTCTGAGATGATGAAAAAGTTCTGAAGTTGGAGAGGAGTGATAGTTGTACAACAATGTGAACGGAGCTTAATGTGACTGAACTATAAACTTTAAAATTGTAAATTTTACCTTATGTTACCACATAAAAATGCAAAGCATAAATAGCAAAGGCATGAACTCAAGATCAACATTAAAAATCTTTAAAACATACTGGCTATAAATACCACCTAGTGGTCACATTTAAAATACCAAACTTCATTATCTTCATTGTTTTCCTCAATAATCTCACTCAAGTTCACTGGATCAGGACCTTCTCCCCACATTAGTGATGGGCTTAGCATCTCTAGATTCCAAGTCTGATCTAACCCAGTCTACAAGGGTATGGTTTAAAAGCCCTGTTTTCCTGGAGCTTTGTGCTGTCAGAAGGGCTCCATCTTCAGCATGAAAGTGCAGCACTCTACAGTGCAGCAAAGCTACCCATCCACCCTCATGAATAAGATCCTAAAATTTTCTATCTTTCTAGTATGATCTTGCTAGAAAATAATTTCCCAAATAAAAACTCATGTTCAAATTTAAGTATGAAAACATATTTTAAGGCCATGCAACACATTTTCACGTAGAACAAGCTTGGTTTACCCATGAGCATCTGATGTCGGTTTTTTTACTCAAACAATGGTGAGCTGATACCAATCACAAAGCAGGAACTGTGGTCATTTTCACCCAAATATACACACAGTAGAATTTGTTTATATAGAGACAAAATTTCATTATTCAACAAGTGGTCATAGGAAATCTACATAAGATTGTGGGGATAAAGTAGACAGTATTAATTATATTTTGAAAAAAATACACAAATATTATACAATCTTACTTAAGCTTAATATGAAAAAGTTGAACTATGTAAGTACCAGGTTGCTTTTCAGAAATGTTCTCTCAAATATCAATGCTGTGGGCTCAAAAAATGTTTAACATGTGGTTTTTGTTAGAACACTTAGTGGACCAGTATGTTTTTAGCTGACACTCAGATTAATATTTTGGGGTGAAGTTACCTTCTTCAAGCTTTTTCTTCAATTCTTCTATTTCTTTCTGAAATTGACGAAGAAGAGCATCCTTTGGATCTTCATTAATTCTAGCTTTATTTTTAATATTCTTAGCACGATTGGCATACCGTAATGTACTGATGGTTTCATCATAATTATAATCTGCTGGCCCAATATTTGCACACTGTTGAATGAGAAACACAAATCATCATTGCTTCTTGGTCTTTTGTCTAAGATCAAGTGTAGAAATACAAATCATTTTACACTACTATACATTAATGCCACCATTACAAATATATCAAAACAAATGTTTGAAGTACATATGCACTTTGGCCCTCTTGAAAATCGAGTGTCAATCACATGGGCTTCAAATAACACTACTGTGGATTAATAAACACAGTTTACTATAAAAAGATAGCCACAAAACAAAAAAAGTAAAATAACTGATTTTTAAATGTTATTCACATCCATTATGGGCATAAATCAGAACCTTAAATTTGCCTGTTACAAGTTAAGGCTTACCATCATGGTTTTTGAGTTTCCTCCTAAAGAATCCTGAAGAAGACGAGTCAACTTGGAGTTACGATAAGGCACATGAGTGCTTTTTCCATCAACCAAGGCAGAAATTACATTACCAAGGGTGGAAAGGGAAAGATTGATTTTTGTAGCTTCCTTTAAACGCTGTCCTGTAGCTCCAGTTTTTGCTTGTCTTTCTGAGCCCTAGCAATAAACAGAAATGAAAGTCAAGCTAAAAACAAAACAAAACAAAATATTCTTCCCAAGAATTTTTTTTTTGGTACCAGAGATCGAACTCAGGTCCTTGTGCTTGCACAGTAGACGGCGAAACGACTGAGCTAAATCCCTGACCCCTCAAGATTTTTTTAAAAAGTAATTTAACAGTAAGAATAGATAAAAGGTGGGCCAGGGATTTAGCTCAGTGGCACCTGCACCTGCCTCACAAGCACAAGGTCCTGAGTTTGATCCCCAGTACCAAAAATAAAAAGATTAGATAACAGTAGGTGAGAGTCGATGAAACAAGACTGAACATAGGGGCCATTATACTATTCTATTTACTTTCATATCCACTTGAAATATTCTGTAGTAATAATACGTTAAACACACATAAGTAACATCTTAAAGATCATAGGTAAGTCACACTTTCTCATTTTAATCTTTATTCATTTATGAGATAAATATTATAAGAAAAAGTTACTCCTTTAGCATCACGCTACTTACAGCAAGATCCACCAGGTGCAGCTTCCCCATCCTGACGTGCATGTTCCCATCCACGCCCTTCTCGCTGCACTCAATGGTGATTGTGAAGATGGCGTGGGAGCGGGAGCTGTGTTCGTTCATGTTGGTTGCACCGACAGAACCTTTAATGGAGGAAAAAAGTTAAAGCTGTAACAGAAAGTTCCTTTGATAATAATTAGGTATCCAGATTAGATTTAAAATACTTAATTTCATCACAATCAAAGGCCAGAGGGCTGGGAATTTAGCTCAGTGGTTTTGCCACCTGCTGCACAAGCGCAAAGACCCGAGTTCAATCCCCAGTACCAAAAAAAAAAAACATGTTTTGGGCTGGGGATTTAGCTTAGTGCTTCCGCCGCTTGTCTCGCAAGCACAAGGACCCAAGTTCGATCCCCAGTACAAAAAAAAAAAAAAAAAAAGCACAATCAAAGGCCAGAGAACATGACTAAGCCATAAAAGTGCAGATGTGTAGTTATTATATGAAAATTTTCTTTTCATTTCTGTTAAGAATATTTTCATATTAAAGATATACTTTTAGCACAAAGTAGAGTTTCCATCTCAAATACTACTGAATAAAGACATATTGTAAGCATTTATTTGGGCATGGTGGTGCACACCTATAGTGCCAGCTATATGAGAGCCTGAGGGAGGACGATCTCTTAAGCGCCACAGTTCAAGATCAGCTTAGGGAAAAAAAATTAAAACCTTAACAATTGAAAAAAATATTGCTAAAAAAAAGAAAAAATTATTGGTGATTCTGCTGTTTCTAAAGAGAATTATACTCTGGGACTAACATTTGCATTCGATAAAACAAGAATATTCAGTGCAGCATTGTTTGCAACAGTGAAAAACCAGAAACAACCAACAGGACAATGATTAACCAATAGTAGAATAGTCATATTAGCAGTCATTTAAAAAAAGGTACATCTGCACCAAATAACATGAAAAGATGCTCACAGAATATGAATTTTTTTTTTTGGTACTAGGGATACAATTCAGAACCTTACACTTGTGAGGCAGGCGTGGTGCCACTGAGCTAAATCCCTGGCCCAGCATTTGAATTTTTTAAAAAGCCAAGAGGGGCTGGGGATTTAGCTCAGAGGTTTTGCCGCCTACTGCGCAAGCGCAAGGACACAAGTTCAATCCCCAGTAATCCCCTGGCCAAAAAAATAGGCAAATAAGGTTCCACCACTCCCAGCCCAGAGGAACAAGCTTCGAGGCCCTGATTCCACCGCTCCCAGCTCAGAGGAGATGAGCCACAGCATTTCTCCCCCAGCCCTCACACTGAAAAGAGAAGACACATAAACAAGTCTCAAAACCAGACTTCCAGATCACCCACAGCAACCCCAAAGGGATAGGAGATGGAACACTCTGATACTCAACCACCTGGACTCCCTGAACTGGCAACAAAAGAGGATCTGGAAAAAAAGAAATCAGAAATAATTTCTCAGATGAACACCAGAGATTGTGCTCGTAGTGCAAGACACGATTAATAAATCTACAGAAGAGCTGAGGAACATGATGGAATCCCAACATAGGAAACAAATGGAATCCATAAAACAGATGCAAACAGATTTCCAGGAGATCAAAAA